ACATATATATATACATATACACATATATATATATACATATATATATATATATATACACATATATATATACATATACACATATATACACATATATATATATATACACACATATATATATATATACACATATATATATATATATATACATACATACATACATACATACATACATACATACACATATATATATATATATATATATATATATATATGAATGAATGAATAACAGTAGAGTAGATGACACGTAATGAGGGGAGTCAGAGTGACAGCAATATAGACGTCCACAGCTGGGCGCAGTTATGGTTCATGTAGTGTGTTCTTAAACCTGGGGCCAAAGGACACCAAACAAGATAATTTTTTAACTTTACAGTCCTTCGCGTTATTAGTATGTATCTGGATCATAATCCTTTAAAACCTTTATTTATCAAACGTGTTTTCCTATGACACTGTGGCCAAAGGGTTGAGACGTTTACCATGTGAAACACAAAATCACCAACCAGACCTTACACTGTGTCACTCTCTGAGTCTATACTGTCGATTAAAGAAAATAAAATTGCATATATATCGGCTCATATATTGGTAAATATCACCATCAGCCACAAAAATCCAAGATCGGTCGGGCATAAACAAAATTGGCACAAAAAAAGGGGGAACAAGTGACACACGGCTGTGTTTGGCAGACAGACAGACGGTTGAGCATGCTCGCTGCAGTTTACCTGTCCAGGTGGAGGGTTGTTGGTGCGCTTCACCCGCACATTGATCTGCCTCCCAGAGGAGCGCAGGGTCTGCCCGTCCCCCGGGGACTCCCCGGAGCTCCTCTTCCTTGCTCGTCGAGCATTCCCGGAGCCATTCCCAGGATAGTCTAAAACATTGGTGGCAACAATGTACATATTTAACAGTGGACAATTCAGTGCAGCTCAGGTCAAATGGGGCCTTTATTACGACTGATAAGGGCTCTTTCTGACCGATAACAGGAACGGAACTAATTACGAATTGACCATAGTGAATGAAACACGACATTATATTGATAGTAAACACAGCAAAGGTGGCGACACATTAGCAAGCTCTTTAAACCAGCCAAACAATGTCCGCTTGTCACGTTTAGCATTTAGCAATGCGTAGCAGAGCGCTACGAGCACTGACCTGCGTCCGACAGCATGGCTGGTCGCGGTGTTTCTTCAAAAACACGGTGGTTATTTCTCCGCTAATGTGAGTTTCTGAGACCCTTTCTTAAATTGTTAGTATTCGTCACCTCTTTTATTGTTGTGGGGGGAAATCAATGCGTTGTTGTTGCGGGAATACCACTTCCTGTTTTAGAGGAAATGGGCGTTTCGTTTTAAGATTAGTTTTGAGCTCCGCTGCTCGCCGTCCTACACGGTAACCACGGCAACTGTAGTAACGTTGCGCCGTCAGACTCGAGCAACGTAAAAGGAGCAGAGACAGGTGATGGAGGACTGACGTTCTTTATTTAATTGTATCAGAGTTTTGTTACTAGAAAGCAACTAGGGGTTCAGGTCAGTTTTCCGTTAAAGGTAGCTCGTTGTTATATCGAGGTTAGAAAGTAAACTTGGACGAAGCAACGTTCACATGAACCGACAATGTTTAAAGTGAGTATTTAAAGCAACAAGACATTTTGGAAATGGATTCAGGCAAACTTGTGCACAGAAGAAAACCGGACTTTCCTGTAATCAGACCAAGAGCATCGGATAAGAAGCAACATATTCCAGAGGTAAACAGTTACTGTAATTCCTTAGAGGTTATATGAAGTATTTCATGTAGTATTTCGTGTAACGCTGGTTCTCAGTTAATACGCATCTATTGTGGTGGAAAAAGTATTAAGATATTTTACTTAATGCTACAATATAACGATACTCTGCCACAATTAAAACTCACTTTTAAGAAGCTGCTCTGTCAGAAGATGCAACAGCGACACCGAGTTTGGGAGAAAATAACAAAGACGGTAAAAACGGCACAGATACAACGGTGGTTTGAATTGTTCAAGATGTTCAGAAACAATTTAGTGTTAAGAATATCGTTCAATAATCCCAAAAAGTTATGGATACACATTTGAAATAGATAGCTCAAAGCAAAAAGTAATGCTTAAATAGTTTAAAAGGTTAGCTTAATTAAAACAACTAAAAGTAACAGATATAAATAGTAATGGAAAAAGTAATGGATAAACAATTGAAATGGTCAACTGAAGCTAAAGGTAATTGATGAACATTATTCTTATATAGTGTTACAGTCTATGTAAACAGTTGAAATAGTTATCCAAAAGATAGCTAACAGTAACATAATGGGTAACGCTATATAGTTTAAATAATTAGTAAAACGTTAGCAAAGAATAATGATTAAACAGTTGAAATAGTTACCCAAAATGTAGCTTAAAGTAATAAAATGTTTTTGCTTAGCAACAAAGCTCTCACCTCAGGCTAACAGGGGAGAGGTGGCTAACTTGCCTACCTTGATAGGCTTAATTAGGCTAGACTAACATGACCTTCTAAGACCAGTCTAAAGCCAAGACTAGTCTTAAAGTAGCAATCTCAAAGACTTAAATAAATGTCTGTTAATTAAGTCACTATATCCAAATGAGGTAAGGCAATGGTGATTGAGCCCATAGCTTACTGATGAAAGATTTGTAATATACATATATGTGCACTATTATGAAATGAATGTCTCTGGTGACAAAACTTACAGTTTCTCTCAATACACACACAGAATGGAACTATGAACACAATTCTAAAATGTTGAAGCCCATGTATCAACTAAAAGACTTCAGGCTGCTAAACTAAGCGCAATGTAGAATTGAGTGCATAGTTGAATATCCGAGTGCACACAATGGAGAAAAGCTGTAACAGTTTATAATGCTGCAAATATTCAAATATTGCAATACTTTCATCCGTGGGCCATAGGCTCAATCACCATTTTGATACCTCCTTCAGTGATAGATGGTGACTTAACAGACATTCAATGAAATAGAAAACTTTGAGATTGCTACTTTATTATTTCAGTTTAGGCTCATAGTGTATATTCCCCAAAAATGTTTAGTTACTTTATTTTCTCAAAGTAATCAGCAGACAGCAACTCCTTAGCCAGGTAGTACTCATGGGAGTATGGGTTGGTTTGGGGATTAGAGGCCATGTGATGCCATGTGTACTCTGATGTGTGCACTGTACTTGATGGGTAATTAGAGGCAACAGGGTCAATTTAAAGTGCAGTGAGAGGACGGGGACTTATTTTTGGCCCCCGAGTGAGTTGATTCAGCCATGCTGATTTGTCTGTATCCATTATATACAGTTAATGTGATATAACTCGTGTTTAATAATGTTATAATATATGATATATTATCACATTTAGTATACACAAATGGAACTGTCATATTGACATAGAAGTGTGGTGATGATGCAATTTCAAATATGACCCGTATTGCCAGATGGAGCAAATACTCTGAATTGGGTTATTATATTAAGGTTTAAAGCATCACAAAATGTTTGATATGAAATACTTATTCATATGCTATGGACACTATTTTACCTCTTACTTCTATTATGGACTAAGGGTTTGGAAATAAAATGCATTGAACTTAACAAAACTAAATATTATAATTGATTTTGATTTTTCCAGAGTACAATTACTTTGGCTTAAAAAGAGACTGGGAGACATGCAACCAAATATTTCATGTTTGGACATTTTGATGCAAAAAAACATCTTTAGAATACACATAATTATTTATTTTTTTATTATTTATTGTGACAATCTTGTGTTCAAGTATGTCTGCCACCAAAGAAGACAGAAGACGGTGTGAACTTGGACCTAAACTGTAATTTCTCAACAGGTCGGTGTTAAAAGTCTTGAACTCGGTAAGGTGATCCGTCTTCTTGAAGATCCTTTGACAGTAAGTTCAACATGAATGTTATCCGACTTTCTTTCTGATTTAAGTTACGTCGTATGTAATCATACTGTACATTCTGTTTTTTTACTAAAGGCTAACTTGAAGGAGAGGCACCTCTTTGTCCTGAAGAAACTACTGAAGAGAAGCCAAATTGGCTTTGTATCCTTTGTTCTGGATCCAGTCTTCTGATAGACACATCTGATAACGCAGACTTCTCTTAGAAGTCTATCTCTTCCAAAATAAAGCTCTCTCATTTGTCACACACTGCAACCGATTGTCAAACCGTCCTCATTACTGTCTCCTGGTACAGAGATGGAAATAGATTTTCCTCTCCTGCAACCTGAACACAGAGACAAATGTTGTTCCCAAGGCTCTAATTTGCCGCTGTATCGCTGTGTCTGTCAGCATTTTCCGTGTTCAGAAATAACCCGGTTATGATGATGAATCTTTGTCCCATCACGTCCCCTCCCTCACTGGGATTTATCTACAAATACGTTTTGCCAAAGTGTTACATCTTCTTAACTTATTTCAAGCTCTTGAAGGAGCTGACATGCATCGCCAAAATACTCAACATCTGTGCTGAGAAAGTGACAGATCACCCAGAATATGTGCCCATTCTGTGTGAGGCACTTCATATCTGTAGGTAAGAAACTCCGATGTATCAAGCCTACGTGGAAAAGACTGATGTTTGTTTTGTGTGACATTGTCTGACTCTGAACAGCAACATGTAGTTTTGCTTCCTCTCAGGCTTCCCTTCCTGAAGGAGAAAGCATCCGATGAGCTGAACTACGCTCAGGACGCCATAGAGTTCCTCTCTCACATGGGTACACAGATCACGATCAAGTCAATTCATAGTTATATATTTAATTGCAATTTTCAATTTTCAAAGTCATTTGTTTACCTTCTAGCAGCCACTAATTGTCATTCTTTCAATATGGTATGAAAATGAATTTGTAGACTTGAAACTTAAAGGATAAGACTGGCGGTGTTATATTTTTTTCTTACTGTTAAAAAATCCCATGAAGAGACTCAAGACTTAAGGACACTCACAGAAAGAGCGTTCGTGGCACACAGCCCCTAGCCCATTGGTTCCTTCTAAAGTTATACATCTTCAAAAGCAAGTCACAAAGCTACAAAGAATTTAAAAAAGAAGTAATTTCCTGAAACAGCTCGTCACTGTAGCTTCTGGCAAGCATAACCTTAACATCAGTAAACAGTGCATTATAGAGGACTATTTTCAGTGGTGGATAAATAGGCCTACACATTTTGGTGAGTATTTATAACAAAGAGATTTGTTGACAAAAAAATACATGTAAAATATCACCAGGCTTACTCTTTACGATAGATCGCCCATCACAGTGAACATCGTGTCATGTGTATTTTGTGTCACGGTTAAATGATCTTTCTGTGGTAATGCAGTGTTTCGGCCGACATGCTGGAGGGACTTGAAATGCAGCGGCCGAATCTTTTAATGCTAAGATATAACAAAGTCCTTATTATCCGGATTATTACACTTTGATATTTTTGTGTTTACAGTTACATTTTTCCTTTAAGACTGATTGGGTCCAGTTTCTCCGGACAGGAGAGATGAGAGCGAGTGACTCTGACAGTGTTTCTGTTGGCAGGCTGTCTGATGAGGGTGTCCCATGCTGAAGTGAGACAGCAGACGGTTGAGTCTGTGAAATCATTCTACAGCTGCGTGGCTCCTAAACAGCTGATTGACGGTACTGACCGTCTTGCAAAGCCAAAGCCTCGGATTTTCCCCTCTGGCAACCGATTTTCTAGACTTTCACTGAGTGAGGTTTTCTCATGGCTTCTGTGGTGGCATGCTTGTGCCTTTGTTTCTTTTCTTACTTTCCTTTTCGTTCTCTCTTTCTTTCATGTTTTACCCTCTCTTCTTCTTCTTCTTCTTCCTTACTGATACATCAAAAGGCTGTTGTTATGAACTGGTCATGAAATCAGTTAGGCTGTATTTTTTTACATTCTTTTGAATATATTTTTCTGTTGGTTATTCTTTGTTTTCCACTAAAACTGCCATTCTACCAGTCTTATGTCCTAATTTTGTCCAAATATTGTGGTTTTGTACATTTTTTATCACTTTTTGTTATTGTTGTACTTGTACCCCCAATTTCCTGTTAAGATGCCCTTCTTTTCGTTTTTCGTATTTGTAACTTTCTCTCGTCTTCTCTTAAGTTTGTTTCTTGCAGGTCATTTATTTTACTGTCATTATCTTTAAAAATAAAAATAAAATCTGTCTCTGCAGGGCTTCAGCCGACCTCTCCAGGCTACAGGCTGCAGCTGCTGGAGCGCAGTGAGCTGGCTCAGACGTTGCTCCTCTCCCTGGCCGCTCTGGAGAACCAGCCTGCCATCAAACTGCAGCTCCTGCACACACTTCAGATCCTCTCCAGGTCCTCTGGTCAGTGACTGATTTTACTCTGTGGAGGAGGGGATCAGTCAGACATGTCAATCCAGCCTCGTTCATTAGATAAAGTAGCCAGCTCTCAAGTGCATAAATCATCTCATGACCAAATGACAATCAGACAAACAATCAAAACTGTGATTTTAAGTGTCCTCGTGTCAATGTCAGCAAGTCAATGGGTTGTTTTATCATCACTCACATTAATCGCATTTCATTTTACAAACACAGATATGAACTGCGCGTCAATACTGAATGCACGAGGAGCAGAGACGATCTGTCTCCACATGAACGAACCCGACCCGTCCGGCCAGGTCCTGTTCCGCTCCTCTGAAATCCTCTGGAACCTGCTGGAGAGAGGCAGCAAGGAGGTCACTGCTCAGCTCAGCAGCATGGAGTGTGTCATGTACGTGTCTCCTGTTTCCATATATGGCTGATGAGGACAGTGTGTGCTTGTAGAGTTCATTTCATTGAATTACCTTTTATTTACTTGAGGAAGACTAATCGTGAAATTAATATTGTCCTGAAATGGTCATCTTCTTATCCCTTGCGCATATCTGTAAAAGAAGTTGCTACTGTGTCATTCAAGCACAAAAATGTATGTGTCAAAAACTCGTAAAAAAATTATATATTAATGTTATTTTCCACTTTTACTGAGTTAAACATTTTAAGCAACTTCAGTCCTGATCATAACGACCAAATATTCATTCATTTACAGAACTTTACATTCAAACATTGCAAGTTTACATAATGCCACTGTTGTTGTGAAAAAAAAAAACACAAAATGTAATTCTTTTCTGTCTACTAAATGCTATGGGGATTTTTTTTTTCACTTTCTGGAATATGTCAATGATTAGCAATAACGTTGATTCTGATTGCATCAAACACTGCAGTGCTCCATAACAACATGAGAAAATATCTCTATCTGGTGGAATATAGTAAGGAAGTACAATTTTGAATCCGGGGCTCTAGATTGAAAGCCTGATATAATAAAATACATTGTGGTGTTAATGGGTTTGAATAGGGACATATTTGTCCTTAAGGGTCTGAGTGTCGTTTTTTTGGGTACACAGTTTATTAATTATAGGGCTGCAGTTGAACTTTCAAAATTCGAAGAAAAAAAAATGCATGTATTAGCGCAGACAAAATGATAAAAATGTATAATTAAAAAGCTAAGAATGTGCCAAGTGATGAACAAGGGATAAATTGATCAACAAGCATCTAGAGGAATTTACATGAGGCAGGATTCTGCTCATTTAGTACAAATAGATATTAGACTTCTTACTTTCTTTTTATTTGTTACTTAGTTCTCTGAAAGAAGCGTTTCTTCAGCAGCTGATGAACGGTTCCCGTAACTCTGACCTGCATCTCAGAAACGATCTGCTTGTGATCACAACTCTCATCGCAGAAAGTCCTAGTTCTCTGCTTATTGTGAGTACAGGATAAGTTATTGTAAGATGGAAACATACTGCAGCTGATATTCATAGACTTATAACTTCCCAGCACATTTAGAAAATGTGTGAAATGTGCCACTACAGGTTGCTTGACATTGTGTTTCTAATTTTCAGGAGAGTTTATTTGCCAAACAGCTCGTGGTTTTGGCCACGTTTCCAGAGCGTGAGGCCACTCTTTCCTTCTACATTTCATTTCTACAATATGAATATTTATGAGTACAGTAGCCTTTTTTATGACAACATAATTGCTTCCTTTATGTTTTAGTGAAAAGTTCCAACCCTTTGGTCCGCAACCTCAAGCTCGCCTACAATAACGAAGACTTGAAAATGAAGAAGTTGCTTTTGAATCTGTTGGTTTTGATGTCGAAGGACTTTGCTGCTCTGCAGGTCAGTCCCACACACAGTCAGTATTGTCTCAGTCCAAAGGTGACATTTTCAACACCCTACATGTTTTCTTCTCCTATAGCTCTATAAAGAGGAAAGTGTGATGCTGGCTCTGCTGACGCTCGTGAAGCCGCCCGCTGCCTCGTCTCAGCGCCGGTCAGCGTCGCTTCAGTGGTCCTCGGTCCAGCAGAGGGAGCTCCAGCTGCAAGCACTGGCCACCGTCTGCACCATCGCTCCGCTCATGTTGGCCGACTACATGACGCATAAGGGGAGCACGTGTCTGCTGCTCCTGCTGGACCAGTGCATTGCTCAAGGTGAGGACGCTGCAGAACACGCGTGGAGAGACAGACAAGAGGCTAGAGGAAGTCCTGTCCTGTATCTGCAAGGTCAAAGGTCAAACACCAATGTTCACGTGTACTGTCAGGGTGGCCTTGATCAAAACACTGAGGCCCGTTCTCACTCACTCTGAGACGTTGTGGATCACCTTAAAGCAAAAATGCAACCATTTAAAAAAAATAATAAGTATATATTATTGTGTTTTTACAAGTATTTATAGGTCAACTGACAACCTAAAAATAACAGACACTATAACCCCTTGACAATGTTTGCACCTGCAGATTTAATAATTTGGGTGTATTAGCCCTTTTTTCGTGACATAACGGTATACTTGTTATATTTTTTTCTCCAGATGCTTTCTTTGGTCAGGGTCACGGCTCCCATGACGGACTACGAAGAGGCAGCATGAAGGCTCAGATGCGACATTGTATCAGGGTGCTGAGATCTGTGACGTCTTTAGGAGAAGACTCGGTCAACCAGGACTTTTGTGATCAAGGAACCATCAACCAGTTCTTGGGTAAATTCAATCAAAACTTGCACAACATCAGCAGAAACATTTTACTTAAAGGGACAGTGTTATAGGATTTTGGTGGCATCTAGCGGCGTGGTTGCAGATTGCAACCAACTGAACACCCCTCCGCTCACTCCTCCCTTTCCAAGACTGACGCAACGTGAGCCGCCAAGTGCAACGCCATTCAGCTTGATCAGAGGCCATCATTATCGTAAGAACACTACTTTAGGAGCAATCGGAAGTCAGACGGCAGCTGGAGGTAATGCGCTTTTGCACTCGTCGGCTCACGTTACCACAGTTTCACAAGTGTTTTCCAAGAACTATGGTGGCCTAAGTAACGTAAAAAAAAACACAAAATACCCTCTCTAGAACCAGTGTGTGGTTCTTCCATTCTGGGCTAGTTATTTTATTTATATAACATAGTTATAAATATCACATTTAATGTCTGCTAATAGATCTTTTGAAATCCTACACACTGGCCCTTTTAATAAGCGTAGTCTAAGTCAACACAGACTTACCCGTCGTATTTTCCCAGGGATTTTGATGCAGATGGAAGCGAGTCCTGACGAGGAGGACGTACTCACCCTGGAGATAAAGTCAGACATTCAACTGATACTTTCAGCGCTGTGTGAGAATGACATGTACAGAAAGGTAAAGCTGATAAAAGCACTTTGTAACTAACCTGTAGAATTACACAAGTCACTTTGAGACAACTAGTTCAACTTAAAGCCACTGTGTGACTTTCAAATCCGTTTGAAAGATGGACAAGAGGTCAAGTTTTTGTTCTTAAGATCTAAACTTAGCTGCTTTAATGAACACATTAATAAATGTGATATGTTTTCATTAGTGCTTCAAGTGAAAACACGATTTTTCCTTTCATTATGTTTATATTTCTCAGCTAGATGTCATGTCATGCTCAGATCAGAACATCACACTTTCAGCTTCAGTTTGGTAACATACAGTATCTCCTCGTTGGCGGTCCTGTTTTGTCGCACCACAGGAGCTGTTTGGGTCAGAGGTAGTAGAGATGGCGATTCACTTCCTGAAGAAAGGCTGCGACAAGTTCTACAGCGGTCTGGGACACAACACGCTCATCCTCTCAACAGTGGACTGCGTGCGGTCAGTGCAGCTAAACCTCAACTTTTCTTATTTATTTTCATTTTTTTTACACAAAGATGAACTTCATTAAAAAGAGGGGAATGAATGTTGTTGATTATTTTCTTCAACTCAAACTTAATCTAGAGGAATATGTATTAACTTCCTCTTCAATGGAATAAACTAAATTAAGGTTAAGAACATACTGAACTCTCATCTCAACACTCTAACAATATATCATCATTATTCCCTTTACACACTTTTGGCTTTTACGTTGTATAGTTTTCTGAACAGTCTAAGACACTTGTAGTGTAAATATAGTAAAATTAAATTTTGGAGATTTTGGTAGACAAACAGGAATTAAAGGACTCACTGATTCCCCACTGTTGAGAAAGTTTGTGTGTATCCCATCAGGTCCTGTATTGTGGGCTGCTACACCACAGAAGATTACTTTTTGGCTAAAGAGGGGGCGTGTCTTCTGTTGGACTTACTCCGTGTAAGTGGATGATTGACTTCCAACTGAAGTTATCGTTGTATTTGTGTGTCCATAAGCACCTAAATGTAAGAACTGATATGAAACTGTTTGGGTGTCTCTCGCTCGCTCTCTCTCTCTCTCTCTCCCCAACAGTCGAGCCCCAGATGCGTACACTGCAACGTCCTCGCCACCCTGCTGGAGTTATGTGACAACCCGAACACTCTGTCTCACATCCTGAGCTGGAGGGACGCCGGCGGTCAGACTGCTCCCAGATTCCTGCTGCAGCTGTGGAGGGACGAGGAGGAGGAGCTGAAAGTCAGCCGAAACCGAGACGGAGGGATCGCAGGTCAGTCTGCAACGAGACCTTTAACAACAACGAGTCAGTGACAAGACTTTGAGGAAGTACATGAATGTACATCTCTGAAGTATGTCGGTGACATGTATCTAGACTGACCTGTTGGTTAGAGTAAACGGAAGCCCATTAAGGAACACGTTTCAACTTATTCTCTGAGCCAGTCGAACTTTTCATATGACTGAAAGTGAAGGACAAAGTGCTAAGTGTCAAAAACTGTTGATTCAGAGCCGGACAACCACTAATCAAAGGATTAAACAATAATCCCACTTTGAATCCTGTCTGATAAAACGTTTATGGAATCTGCAGTGGCTCATATTTATACATCTTTCCCTTGTATCTTATTTTATGCTTTTTCACTTTTTGACTTTAAGACCCCCAGAGACCCATCATCAGTCAGTACCATCAGGAGGACGCCCAGCTGTCATTTCCTGCTAACATACCGAGTGCAGCAGTGCTGGAGGTGTCAGAGAACCTGCGGTTAAAGATTTACTCCATCTTCTGCAAACTTGGTAAAGATTAGAAAGTGCTGAAAGAATTCAAGCAGTAAACACAGTGTCACGTACTGTAACAGCGCATCAACATCTGTAAATATGTAGATAATGCTTTTTATATCATATTGCCTAGCTGTAGTCTAAGTCACATTATACAGCCTAAAATGTAGCCACAATGTCTGTAAGTTTGGATCTAGATCAATCTGTTAGTACTACACAGATGTGGTTTTGACATGCAAGGTCAGCACATGATCATTTCACTTGTCAATTACCTTAATCCAGGAAAGTAAAATTTGAGCTACAGTAAATTTGCAAACAGCAATATGTGCTGAACTTCTAAAACTATGCTGTGAAAAATCATCACTTGTCACTTTTGCAGGTTTTCAAGACCTTCCTGGATTGTCCAGAAAGGATTATGCGACCTTGAGCATCGTCAGGAGATACCTGAGCTTCAAGGTGGAGCTGCTGCTTGTTAAGCAAAGAAAATGTGCCGGATATGAAACTAGTCGTGTTGTCACCAGGTTTCATCAGGATTGTGTCATTTTTACACAATCAGAATAATTGGATCAATAAGATGTGTCAAAATTCTCATCATACAGGCTTTGTTTTTTTATGATATGTAAGATGTATATTTAAACTCTAAAATGATCGCAAACAGCGAGCAAAGGCTTCTGTTTCAGACACAGGAACATTATGAGCATTGGGGCGTGTGTCGCGGTGCTGTAGGTCGGTGAGGTGTGGGACGAGATCCGCAGGGAGCTGAGTTCAGACGGCGTGAGGCCGATCACCCCTGACGAGGAGGCCCTGAGTACCATCTGTAAGTTTGCAGAGGACACGGCGAGGAGGGTCGCGGCAGAACAGAACAGCATCCTGGAGCAACAGCAGAAGGAGGACATCGGCGAGGAGGAGCTCATGTACACGGAGGTGCTGAGAGTTTAATTCACTAATCGCAAAGAATAGAAAGTCTGTGAATGTCAGCTGAATAAGGATATTTTCTTTGAATATAAGCACGCAAAACTTGTTTCTAGAGTCGATGTGTTGGTGTAGATATGTTGTTTTTCTCTCATGAACTATTGCACAAACTTAAATGGGAAAAAATCTGACAAATGTATCCCCACAAGTGTCTGTGAGTAGGTTGTTTTTTCATTGGCATTTTTTGCATATTTTGCATATTTTAGACAGAGTGCAGCCTTAATGCTTTCTTGTCAATTTAAATCTGGAACTTGACACAGCAGACATCTCTTTTTTGTTCATCAGTTGCACTCACACTTTTTTTTGCTGTCCTTGTGTTGCAGATTAAGTCTCATTGGAAGCAGCGGGAGCTGATAGCCAAGTCATGGGACCGCTACGTTTCCAAGACTTCAAACTATGAGATCCTGAAGGTTTTATCTTTTAACATCCGCAGATATAAGTCATCACTGATGTGGCAAAGAATCAATTTGAAAAACTATGTTGTTGTTTTTTTGTACAGGAAGTGAAAGCACAGAGGGAGAAATACCAGGATGCTGCGGTTCATCCAACAGAGGTCTCTCACTGACACACAACATTAAATATTATAGTATTGTACTGCCCACAGTCAGTAACAGCTTTAGGAGATACAACCTGCAGTGCAGCAAGGTGGTTGAACCAAGTTTTCTGACTTTCACTGACTTTAACTTGAATAATACAAGACCCAACACTCATCTTGCCTTGAGTTACAGACATGTAACCGGTAAAGTGTCCCTGATACACTCGCTGATAACAGCAGAGAAGCAGAGGATACATTTAGAAAGAAGGCAATATGTATTATACTACTGCTTTGACATTTGAATTTTACGGTTTGGAAATCAAATTCTTTATCAAAATGTCTTGCGGTGTAATTTAAGGACATTTCTTGTGTCTGGTTCACAAAAAGAGCCAGAAACTGTTTTGAAAACCATATAACTCAACACTTGAGGGAGTATACATAATTAAATTATTAGTAGTCAACTATTGGTCTTTTTTGCACTGAGACTGTAAAAAATGTTACTTTTTAAAATAAATCCTGGCAGTATAATCAGTTCAGATGTACCTACTCTTAAAGGAACAATGAGTAGGATTTGTCCCCGGCTCAACGAGGGTTTACGGTGCTCTCCAGCGAGTTGAAGCCGACCCCAGATACAAACTCGTTTTGGAACGAGCTTTGTCCGCTTGGCGTTTAGTCTGGATATATTTTGCGTTTTTTTACGCTGTGTCTACCATTCTGGGAGCTTCATCTTGGATGCGTGTTTACCAGTGGTGTATAGCAAGACACAGAAATATTTCTGTTGACTTTTACTTTGACTTCACTACATTTTGCAAAGAAAACTGATACTTTTACTCCGATACATTTCCCCTGAAACCTTCGTTACTCGCTACAAAATCAAATCTATCTTTAGAAACAAAATGAATCATGAGACCAGCGTCGGGGACTGTGGTGGAACAGAGACTGCAAGCAAGCAGGTTTGGTGAATCAGTGGTCCTAGCTTGCAAGTTAAATCATTGGTTAATCACGTTAATGCGCAAAACAAGTGCTCTCAAAGCCGCGGTGTTTAGATTCCCAGGATGCTATATGCTATAGCTAGCGAGCGACAACACGAGCAGAATTCCCCTCTACGATGACTGATTTCATGACGGAAGCAGAAATGGAAGCACCTGCTACTCCCGCAACAAACTACGGTGGTGACGAAGACTAACACCCGTGGATCGCTAGTGAGTTAGTGAGCTGAGGAAGTGTTGACAGTTGTGTAGCACTAGTTGGCTAACGTTAGCTATAGCTAGCCACCACACCATAGGATTAACAGGAGCCGCGAGAGCGCAGCATTAGGGTTAGCATCAGGGTTAGCATTAGGGTTAGCATCAGGGTTAGCATTAGGGTTAGCATTATGGTTAGCATCAGGGAAATCCTTCCCAGCTGTGCGCAAGCTGCCTGTGAAGCTGAACACACCTCTACCTGCCTCAGCGGCCTGTGAAAGGCTGGTTAGCATCGCAGGACTAGTCTTCAGCCCAAGAAGAGCGAGACGGAATTCTCGCAATTTTGAAAACCAACTTCTTTTGAAGATGAACAGGACATTTTTCAGTTTCCAGTAATGACTGGGTTGTTACTTTCGGTGCTGCTTTAGTATTGATCATGTTTTGATATTTGAGTCATTTTGTGGATGATCAGATGGAGTTATGATGGTAGCAGTCGCCCAATTGCAGATTCAGCTTGAGCAAAACCTTTGCCTATTGTGTTCAATTCAGGCCCATAGGAGTTTACAAGGCAGGTGTCCTTTCTCTAAACACTGACCTGATGCATCAAGTGGATATTCTTTGCTGAACACAATATGATGCATTTGCCCTCTACATCCTCTAGTCGGAATGAGCATACTTATAAACGCACTGTTACAACTCCTTCATAGTGTCGTATTGCTTTACGGAGAATTATGATGATAAGTTCATAGTAGATGCAAAAGTATACTTATGTACAATATATTATGTTGAACATTGTTGCTCCTGGATGGATCACAGCCAACCCAATTATTAACACAGCTCCATGTCCTTGGTCATGGTGCCACAGCACTTAAAAGAATAAACTTCATAATTCTCAAAATTCTGACCCTTTGCTTTTTTATTAACAGCATTTACTTGTACTTTTACTTTCAATACTTAAGTACATTTAATATCAGAAATTACTTTTGATAGTTAAGTACAATAAATATCAGATACTTTAAGACTTTTACTCAAGTAGTATTCTAATAGGTGACTTTTACTTTTACTGGAGTAGTTTTCCAGTAAGGTATCTTTACTTTTACTCAAGTATGGCTTTTGTGTACTTTATACACCACTGGTGTTTACATTCTGGCATGTGGTCAGAGACAGGAAAAAAAAGCAGCCAGGGCAAATACAGATACCGCCACACACTTCTAGTGGTTCACAAGTGTTTTTTGCATGAGTCTACACATTGTTTTTTAGGAATAGCCTACTCATTGTGCCTTTAAGTCACCAGCTGTGCAGGACAACTGGGAGATGCACTCACTGATGATTCAAACGTGCCGTGATGTCTTGCTGTGTGTTTCAGCATTTCGTCGGGCAGGTGATGTCTGTAGAGAGAGCAGGCGCTCAGGGGCCCGCAGGAGTGAAACTGATTCTGGCCAGAGCTCCCATCAAGGCTGCGGGTCAGGACCAAGTTGGAGCCACAAGTCAGGACCCAGAATACTTCAGCACCGTATCTGTAAAAGACTGATGTTTCATACACGCCCTTTATATTGTTATCGCACATTTATTTTATCTTGTACACTTGAATGCACACCCAACAAGACACAAACCAAACTTTGCAGCACGGACACACATTTATAACGAATAGATGTTTATTTCTAACGGCCTCTGTTTCATTCCCAGTGTTTCTTTTGACTCAAATGCAGACGTGAGGTCACTTGATGTGCACAATCAGCACCTTGTAGTCTGTTCCACCCATTCAACAGACAAACACACAAACTGACTGGCCTTTGTGGCAGTACTAGCTGTTAAAATGTATGTAATAATAAAACAACATACTTGTTTTTTTAGATAACATGAAATGTGTTTTGATTTGTAAACCTTTTTTCTCCCACAACAGTCAGATCATTAAACATATAATTAAAACGTTTCTATGCATTCATTCTCCAACGAGCATTGTATCTATAACTAACGGGGCGACATGAACAGTGAGACCCTGAACAGTCAAATGTGGCATCATGGAAACTGAGGCCTTATGTAACACCAAAATATCAATTTAATTTAAAGATTAAAACAAGTCTAATTATCTCCACTAAAGGTTGATCCTCGTTTGTGAAAGGCTACCTGCTGTTTGGCAGCTTGTGCCACCCAGAAGGTCCATTTAGGACAGTTGTTGAAAAGTGTTCTCTCTGTAGTGTTTTTGGGTTACATAAGTCACTGCAGCGCATTAACACACATGTTCCTTCAAGCGTGCAACATGCTGCACAGAGCCTCTTCTTCTTCTCTCTCTCTCTCTCTCTCTGCTCTCACCATTTTACCGGCTGGATGACCAAATGGTCTCCGACAGGCCACGGCTCTTGATGCAGCTTTGTGAGTGTGTATGTGTGTGTTGAGCCCCCGTCAGACTGGGACGTTCACACTGTACAAAGGAGCAGGGGCAAACGGCAGCCCTCTTCAGTGCGACAAGCTGCCGCTGTTTGTTCAAGCTGCTGAGGGGCTTCACATGCTGTCTATCTGACTGACTGTCTGTCTGCGGGCGTTGAGCTGCTGGAGTCGTTGATGAAGGTGAGGATGAGCGTCGACGGGTGTTCGTCAACTCCAGAGAGGACACGATTACTTCAAAACTGTGAGAAAGATTTTTGTTTCACATAAAGACTGATGAATAACCTCTTTATTTTTTTGGTACAACCTAAAAATCTCTAGCTTGGTTTTATGTTCACATTTTAAAGACATTTTTAATCAAATCAATTTAAATAGTAAATAATTTTAAGTTTTTTAAAGCACTGGATAGTTTCATCAGTGACTGAGTGATATTGTTGCTTGATTTGAACAACTTTATTGTGTTTAAGAAATGTGTTACAAATAACTAATTTGGCTTCTGTCGGCACTGACGGGTTATTCATATTAATATTTAACACAGATGAAACATATACAGTCATTACATATTTTTTAGGTCCCTTGGTTTCGGGGGTCGAGATCCTCCTGAAGGGTCTCAAGATGAATCTCGGGGGTCATAAGATGATAAATGGAACAGACAAGAAAAAATATGTGAACATTTTGACTGACTTCACTCAACAAAGACTGCCGTACTTGGTAGTTTAAACATCTTGAGATCCTGAAAGATATATTCACATAACATGATCTGAGAGGAGAAATTCACTCTGATCATCTGAGAGGAGTCACAGATCGAAAAGTTCAGACTGACATTTAATACTTACTACTGAAGAAAAGTGTTGGAATACTACAACTGTAAACATAAACTTGTGGAGGAGTAGTGACATGTTTTTCCTCCCTTGCAGGAAGGTTGTTGGCTCGTCTGAGGAGCTCCAGCAGCAGAAATGATCATCAGACTGGGGAGACTGACACCAGGATACTTCCGTCTGCTCCAGGTGGGTCACAACCACCCGGAGCACTTCACTTTTATTTCTGTCTCCATGTTTCATTTGACTGGTCTCTGTAGATCTTGTTCACTCAAATGTATCACACAGAGAAATATGTTGTCGCACAAAAGTAAATAAATCCACTCAGTGAAAGTAAACATATTTGGTGTTCATATTTGACAGATTATCTTCATACATTTTTATAGCTTTTTATAGCTTTCTTAAATGCTTTGAATTGAGGGAGTCAATCAATATTTTACAGAGAGCTGATGCAGCGTGTCTCAGGCTCAGGGGGGTTATATAACCTGTTCAGACTCGACCTCACAGCTCGTGTGCAACGCTGATCGGAAGAGAAACTTTTCTTATACTGGCACCACCATTCCAGGGTGCCAAAGTCTGAGATTTTTTAAAAATAAATTCTATACGCAGTAGTTATAACAGGTTACTGAGAAGTTCCAGGACATCATGATGCCATAAGGAACCAGCAACACGCTGAAATCGCTCATACGAGACAGAACTAATGGCGGTCAGAAGCAGCACATTAATGCAGCTGCTTCATTAACAGTGAGGCTCCACAGTACAGAGTCACTCAGTACCAATCGTTGTACTGAACTGAGCGGACATTGACTGTCTCACCACATCTGTATGGCCGCAGTGATTTACAAGAGAACAGACAGTTTCAGATGAACAGGAGGCATTTAGGCTGGAAAATTCACAGTAGCAGACATGTCCAAAGGAAAAAGACATATGATTGTTTATTTGTCAATTTGAATGCCACTTAGGGCAGAACATTTGGGGTTGACCATTTCCACCTTTGGTGCCAAATATGAACAAGACTAAGAGCTACAGCCATGCTAGCGGCTCCGTGAGGCTGTAGTGCTTTGAGCTAAATGCTAACGTCAACGTGCTAATATGCTCACAATGAAGCGAACATGCTGATGTTTAGCAGGTGTAATGTTGACCATGTTCACCATTGTATTTTAACCTGTTAGCATGCTAGCATTCGCTAAATAGCGCTAAACACAAAGTACAGCTGAGGCTGATGGGAACATCTTTATTGTTGCAAGTATTTGGTCAAAAACCAAAGTATTGGACAAATTATACGATTCACCCAATGATGTCACTGGATAGAAAGTCACCAAAGTTATTACAATTAATCCTGAGAGGAAGATGAATATCTGTCCAATAATCATGCAGCAGATGTTGAGGTGGTTAAGTTTTGTTTTCATGTGGGAAAGAAAAGTTGCATACTACAACTTCAACTGCTCTCTGATCATACTTGTGTGTTTAACTACTGTCTGTTGTCATCTTTCTGTCCGTTCTGTGTGCAGAGGCAGGTCTCAGGTGAGGTCCGGATGCAGCCACAGAGCAGTCTCATCGATCCCATCGCCATGACGATGGCGGCGGTGGGGATGGGAGTGTCTCTGTACAGTGCCAGGCAGATGGCAGAGAGAGTCGATCTGAAACACCCAGCTGCCTGGGATCAGTGAGCGGCTCTGTGGGCGGTTCATGTGACAGCGTGTTTGTTTGTGTACGTCACAGAGGGGTTTGAGGTTTTGTAGGTTGAGGGAGTTTATGAGTTTTGTGGTGTTGCTTGAAGGAAAAATGTAAGCGTCCCAGGAGGAAAAATGTGAGTCATTGTTCAGTTCCAGCAGGAGCATTTGTCAAGTAGTCAAACAATTTACCCTTTTTTGCAATCTCAACATTTATAAGCAAATATGAGTGAGCCTGTAGTTCACCCACTCTGCATATCTTGTGCAGCTTGCCCTTAACTTAACCAGTGATTGTATTTTAATCCAATAAATGAGCATATCATTTGTCAACAAGGATCTCTGCATTAAAGTTTGACCTGCAGCCGTTATTATTTCCTGCATTTTATAGTGCTGTAGAACATGAATAAGAAAAATAACCACAGAAAATCTAATAAAATAAATATGTAGGAAATTAATTTAGCACACAAGCTTGTTGTATTTATTTATATCAGTTAAACATGCACTTCCTTGTACTTTAGCATCTTGAGTGTCGATTGTACATCCTAGAGCAGCATCACCCCTTTGAGTATTTATTTGCAAAGCAGACTATAAGCAGCTAAAGGAAGAGTTGTTGTCATGTTTGTACTAGAATTTAATATAACAAAGGAAATGTATGTAAATGTAAAATGCCACAAAGACACATTCAAAATGATTGACTTTGTATCGTAACAAATTTGCTAAATTGATGTAATCCTCAAATAAAAATGTTCACAGATTTGACATCTGCGTGCTGACTTCTATATGTTCTTAAAGCGTTTTTTAAAACATTAAAACAGCCCCGAGGGTTCTCAGGCTTCATCATGTGGAAAGGTTTGGTGGGAAACAGAAATTGTCGGGAGACTGCACAGTCTGAATGGAGCGACTCATGTGGATGAAACTCAGACGGGGGAAGTGCTTTTGCTGCGAGTTGTTCTTTGACATCATGAGATACATTTTCAGATGAGAATGAGATCTGTATACTTATTTCACATTAATTAGACTACACATATTACAGTAAGCCTTTCCTATAGGAAACAGCAGTTTAATGCCTTGCTTAAGGGCTCTTTAATAGCGTCGGTTCCTTTATTATAACAATGCAGCGCTGGCCCAAAGCAGGATTTACTATAACTTATATTTACAAGAGAAATTTGACTGTATTGTGTTGTGTCCATAATTTGATTATGCTGCTTTAGGTGGCCTAAAATAAATCACTGAATGCAGGTTTGATGAACAAGACTAGACCAATTGGGTAGCTGTGTCATACTTAGGGAAACATGTAACTAAAAAAGTACATTAAATCCTGGATTTTATAACTTTATCATACTGTCCTTTCTTTTTATATCCTCAAATCCCAAACTTGTATGTAGCTGAGAGGACATTTATACATTTAGTGGAGTTCAAATAACTAACAAACTACATCAAAAAACAATTAAATATGTCCCAGTCTTGTCTTATCTCCTCTGTGTCACATTAACAGCCGTCTGACAATTTGTTTGCCTAGAGGAGGAGCTCTGGCGCTGTGGGAACCAGTCTCTGTTGTTGGTTTTACCATTAAGCTAACGCGTTTAGCACTATATCATTGGATAATTATAATGGATGCTACATACATATAAGTGGTACTTTAATGTTGTAATTGGCCGAGGATAGTTTAAACTACAACAATAGGCTACATCATTATAAACAAGTCACTTTATGTAAAATCTTAATCTGAAAAGAAACGTATTTAGCTGTAAAATACAGTAAAAAGTACAATTCTTTCCTCTGAAATGTAGTGAAGCAGAAATAAAAGTTATGTGAAACAGAAATACGAGCGTACAAATACGTTGTACTTGTATTCTAGCACAGTACTTGAGTAAATGTACTTCCACCACAGACTACACGTCTATACTACGCCCGACGTTACTTCTTGTGGAGGCTGCCTGGTGGTCGCAGCGGTCCGCCGCTCCAGCAGATGTCGCTCTCTCTCCGGCTCGGCTTCAGATGAGCCGCCCTGTAAAGTTAGAGAGAAAATCGTGAGAGAGTTCTGCCTGATGAAGTGATGATACTTGATGAAGTTGTGAGAGTTTCGTTTAAAGAGAGAATAACGGGTCTGAAACAATTAGGGCAACAACTCAGAAGCCTTTAAATCATCTCAGCGGGCAAGTGAGATGCGTGATTTTTTTTTTTTTTACAAAAATTATCCCACCGATGACAGCAGCGTTTTTTTGCTAAATTAACCATCATTTGTTCTTCTACACATATGCGTCATTTTAAGATGCCCGGGGAGTTTGTGCGTAAAAGTGCGCGCTTCTCCGTTGCGCACCACGCTCGCTTCCCGTACTATCCTTATCTTCATCTTCGTTGGATTTAGAGCTGAGCAGCAAGAGCAGTTCAGCCGTCAAACCATCCGAAAATGGCTGAGCTCCGTCCCACCCGAAAAAGCGCCGCTGCTCCGCCTCTAACGGGGATCATTTGCGTTTTGTTGCTCCTTTTCGTCTCCGTCGCCTCCGCGAGTCGTGATGTTGGAAACAACGAGACGCGGAGAAATGCAGCCGGAGAGAGATCAGAGGACTCCCATCATCAAACTAACTCCACTGCCCACAAAAAGGCTTTCCCTGTCCTCTCCCTCAACTACGACCACGTCAGGAAGCCCTTTGAGATCGCCCTGTGGATCCTCCTGGCCCTGCTCATGAAACTTGGTGAGTGACACATGTGACACACATTAGAGAAGGATTTCCTGTTGCCACAGTAATCAAATACTCCCACCTCTGGCATTAGTGGGGACTGGATCATCATAAAAGGAAGGGGGCTTGTTACCTAGGCTCCAAACATGGTACAGATTTAAAGTTTGTAAAATGGTTTATTTGTGTAACAAGATGACATGCAGGTCAAGAGAAAAGCTGCAATAAAACATCAGACACAAGTGAATACAGAAGAACAGCAGTGATACAAATGACTGAGGATGTTAAACTGAATATAGAAACAACCAGATATATATATATATATTTATTTGCCTTAGTAAGCCAAGGGTCATCTCAGGCACATCACTGACTGGATAGACCTTCTGCAGGCCGCAACAGAGTGCTGAGAGTTTCTCCACAAACTGCTTCAGTGGTGTTTCCGTGCCACACAAACTTATTTTAGGACGAGCCTGATGGTGTGAGCGCGTGTCTGTCGGTCGGTCTGTCTGTCTGTAGACGAAGCAAATGTTAAGGATTAGAGTTTAAATTCAGCCCTGGCAAGAGGTGTTTCATAGCAGCAGTTCAGGCTAATTGGAGGGATTAAATGTATCTCTGTGCAGATTTATTATAAGCCATCGCTCGCCTCTGAACTTTAGCTTGTACACAACACTCCTTATATGTTGATAAACTCCAACTATTTAAATCTTTTTTTTAATGGACTTTTTGTACTCAATTACTTCCTCATATATTATTATTGTGCATAGTTTTTTATTACTTGGAGTAATTATACATAGTGTTTTATGTTGTACTATTTTTACAGTGATCCCACCCATGACATTTGTGACCAGCCGCCAGCCAGACTGTGACATTTTAGGAACATTTAAGAAATTCACAAAATATCACATTTTATAAGCACAAATAATGATGCATTTTGACTTTTATTATGGTATTATGGTATTATGCCACCATGTTGGGTGTGTAAATACCGGGTAGTGGTGAGTCTGATTGGCTGAGGGAATCTCTCCTGCGGTTTGTTGCTGGCTGAGAGGAGCCCTGTGGCGTCTTATCTGCTCCCTCCAGCTGTTGTCCATGAGGGACGGTCCGACTTCCTGTCCTAATGCACTGCTCGATAACAAGCAGCCCAGTGTGCAGAGTCAGAGAGGAGGGGGCGAGGACGGCTGCACACGGGAACACTGGCCGCAGAAAAAACGTTCGCGACAGCAGCCTCGACCCCGAGGTCACATGACCGGGAGGCTGAATATCAAGGCCTCATTCAGCTGAGAGACAAACGGGCCAAATATGAAACTAAAGGAGCAGTCACAAAGTCCTGTTCAGCATCAATCGACTGTATCAGCCCTTTATTTCACCCTCAAACAACACTGGTTTTATGTTCCAAAATGTGAGGATTTTCAGCTCCTCGCTGTACAATAGTCATTGTAAATAAAGTATAAATATATCTATTTGACGTTAACTTGAGGTCTGGAGACTTGTGATGGTCATTTTCCACTATTTTCTGAAATTTTATAGACTGCAGGATGAATCGAAAACAGATGACTCAACAATTAAAATGATTGCTAGTTGCCGCCCACGGTTGCTCATTTCAGTAACGTCCCATAAAGGCCAATAGTGAAGAGTTCCCAGTGAAATGCACATTAAAAACATAACATTCACCCCACACACATATTTCCGTTCAGCCGTATAAGCGGCCTGTTTGTTCGCCTGCTGCTGCATCACGTTTTATATTTCATGAGGACGTTGCAGTGACGCACAACTGACTGAGTGGATCTTGTTTTTTACGGCCGTCTCAAGCGGCTGCTCTCATGCACGCAGTAATGTATCACTAAATGTAGACTCTAGTAATGTATGTGTGTAATGTGTGTTTATGTCCTGCAGTGTCAGTTTGCAGTGAGTGTTACATCCTGTTGTAGCATATTTATTGACCTACACCACTACTTCACTTATGAAACATGTTGTGCATTTATTTGACTCTTTATTCATTTTTGCAATGATACAAAACAGAGAAAAAGCAGCAATTTGTGATGCTGGAGCCAGATCATTTTTGCCTTTTTGTCTTCGATAAAATGTTTCAGCTCATTTGAAAAATAACTCCTGAGGTCCCAAATGAATTAAGCTTTTGAGAATAACCCTTAAAAATGCTCCAAAGAGCCGATTTAGGTATAATAAAATTAATTTAATAACCACATTGGCGAGTGCAGACACTGAAGGAGGATGGAGTGGTTGTAAAGCGTTTTATTCTGGGATTGGAGATAATGGCTGACAAGAAAGCAGCAGTTGCAAATAAGAGATGAAAGCTACCCTTTTCTGAGTAATAACATGACAGAATACACTCATCCTGACGGGCAACTCTTATCCAGCTTAAGAGACCTCCTGAGATCTCTGAAATTTAGGAGCATTTTAAGAAATGTGATGAACAGCTTTAGCTTTGTGAGAACAAGTCAACAATTTGTCTTTCTCTTTTAGTTTTCAGAAGTAAAAGGTTCAAATCTTTCTCTGTCTGCAGGTTTTCACATGATGCCCCGAGTGTCGAACGTCGTCCCAGAGAGCTGCCTGCTGATCGGCGTCGGTCTGCTGGTGGGCGGCATCATCAAACTCATCCAAGATAAAACCCCCGTCCTCGACACCAAGCTCTTCTTCCTCTACCTGCTGCCTCCCATCATCCTCGATGCCGGCTACTTCCTGCCCATCCGGGCCTTCACGGAGAACATGGGCACCATCCTGGTGTTCGCGGTGGTGGGGACCCTGTGGAACGCCTTCTTCATCGGCGGGATGATCTACGGCGTGTGTCAGATCGAAGGCACCCAGCTGGCCAGCGTGGACCTGCTGTCCTGCCTGCTGTTTGGCACCATCGTCTCGGCCGTGGACCCCGTGGCCGTCCTGGCCGTGTTCGAGGAAATCCACATCAACGAGCTGCTGTACATCCTGGTGTTCGGGGAGTCGCTGCTCAACGACGCCGTCACCGTGGTGAGTGAAGGGAAGTCCGGAGGGGCTGGTACTTGTACAGGTACTGTACTATGCACCTCGAGGCTACTCCACTATATTTCAGAGATAAATATTGTACTTCTTTCTCCACTATGTTGATCTTACAGTTGGATTTGCTGGTTACATTATAAATTGAGATTTTACTTACAAAATCCACTGCTTTATCTTTTCACAACAAGACAACAAGAAAGGGAGGAAGGGTGGAAGTAAAGAGAGAAGGAAGGAATGGAGGAAGCAAAGAAGTGAGGTAGTAAGGACGGTAGGAAAGAAGAAGAGAACATGACCTACTTCACTAGAATAACAAGTACACCATTGAGACCTGTAAAGACATTTTACCTTGAATAACACACAGAACACTCAGTAATTGTGTTTCTCTCTCTCTCTCTGCTCAGGTTCTGTATCACCTGTTCGAGGAGTTTTCTCACGCAGGAACCGTGACCGTGGCCGACGCCTTCCTCGGCGTCATCTGTTTCTTTGTGGTGTCTCTGGGAGGCATCCTGGTGGGAGCCATCTACGGCCTCCTGGGTGCCTTTACCTCCCGCTTCACCTCACACACCCGAGTCATCGAGCCCCTGTTTGTTTTCCTCTACAGCTACATGGCGTACCTCTCCGCTGAGGTCTTCCACCTGTCAGGCATCATGTCGTGAGTTTGTGATAATTCACCTCCTGTATGTTCGGGATAGTTATTCTTCTACAGTGAAAAAAAAAAAGGATTAGTTTGACATTTACACTCATTCATAGAGTGGGATTGTATACGAGTGTTAAATTCTAAAGCTGCAGCCAGTTAGCTTAGCTTAGCATAAAGACTGGAATCTGGGGAAAACGGGTGGCCTGACTCTTTTCTAATTTCTAATTTACAGCATGTTAGAAAAACAAAAACAGTTCAACTAGAAAAATAAAATACATCCTCAGGAAACAAAATACAGCTGTCTCTGGGGGTGTGAGAACAATGTTGGTTATCTTCTAGCCATGATTTAACACCTCTATTCAAAACATTTAACGTGTGCTGCATTTTTTATTTAGTTGGTAGACGGTTCCATCATTTTGCCCCGTTAACAGAGAAGACTGATTGTGAGGTTTGTGTGTAATGCAATGCGACAGTGTGTTGACTCGGCTGGTGTGCTGGCGTCTTGTAATGAATTCATTAAGCAGGGAAGGAGAATGACTGTGTAGATGTTTAAAAATACGCTTCATATTGGCTCATGAAGCTTTGAAAGCTGAGCATAATGTTTGTATTGTCTGGTTATACAATAATATGATGGGTTTTATAGTTTTTATAGCTTTATCAGCTCCTTCAGGTGGAGAAGTGATCGCTCTTTACATTGTGCTTCGTAACAGTTGTAGAAATCCTGTTCCATACAGCTTTAAACCTTTCAGAAACAAACCGGCTCAGCTCACTCCTTGTCGTCCGTGACGCTCTCTCCGTGTGCCCTTCCTGTCCCTAACAGGTTGATAGCATGTGGCGTGATAATGCGGCCGTACGTGGAGGCCAACGTCTCCCACAAGTCGTACACCACCATCAAATACTTCATGAAGATGTGGAGCAGCGTGAGCGAGACGCTCATCTTCATCTTCCTCGGTGTTTCCACGGTGGCGGGTCCTCACGCCTGGAACTGGACCTTCGTCATTGTCACCGTGGTCCTCTGTCTGGTGTCGAGAGTGCTGGGTGAGCACAGCAAAACATGGTCAGACAGGGACTTGTGTCCGAGTTAACCGGATAACTAAAACAACGATGTTTCTTCACTACTGAGGTCAACACTTTTTAAAAACGATTGTTATTAAAAATGACATGTTACTGTAATCTTCTTTATAAACTTCATTATGGTGTTTTCCGTGTGCTTTCCAGGAGTCATTGGCCTCACGTATATCATTAATAAATTCCGCATCGTGAAGCTGACCAAAAAGGACCAGTTCATCTTGGCCTACGGTGGCCTGCGAGGTGCCATCGCCTTCTCACTGGGGTTCCTGCTGACCGACGAGATGAAGATGAAGAGCATGTTCCTCACCGCCATCATCACCGTCATCTTCTTCACCGTCTTTGTGCAGGTGACAAACTTTTGCCTTTCAGTATTTTATTCGACATAAAGTTACTTGTAGAAAATGTTGAACCAAGCAACCAGGAATTTGATTTCGTCTTTCTTTTTTTGTAATAATTCAGTTTGTTTCCTCTATTATAAGTAACCAGTAACCTTTATTGATCGCTTGGCAACTAAATAGAATTGCAACTTCCTTTTTTTAAGTGTAAATCATGAAAACAAAGTTTTATTTATATGTTTATTTGTTTATTTTCACATATACATGTATATAATAACCCAGTAAAAATGTTTGAACTGCCAAAAATGGCTTATGAAGATACTTCCCCCTATAAGATATCAATAGTCATCAAAAATGATAATAATTCATCAAAGTTTCAAGGTAAAGCAGTAAAACAATAATTGATGAAAATGAAAAAAATACATAGAAGTTTAAGTTCACCGGCTGAGATACATTACAATAACATCCCTGAAGTGTTATAAAACTTCACCAAAGAGATGGTCCTCTGTATTCCACTGTGACGTCAAACAATACTGAAGATTAAAGTCCTCAGCTACTTGTGGAATATGAGTGAAAGTCTGAGGAAGACGTGCCATGATTTAGATTTACATATTAACACATGAATACACAAGTCCGGCATATGTCCACATTAGAAATTGCTAGAAGTTTGTATTTGCTGAAGAGCGGAGCAGATGAGTCGCGTCTTTGAGCAAAACTAATCACTGGATTAGGAAAAATCGTATTGATGTAAGTGGGACAGGCAGTATTACGATACATAACATGAGGAAACATTGAACAATATAGAACACAAACATGACCTGACTTCCTGTTTGTGTCTCCAGGGAATGACGATCAGGCCTCTGGTGGAGCTTCTGGCCGTGAAGAAGAAGAAGGACAGCAAAGGGTCAATTAATGAGGAGATTCACACACAGGTGGGATCGATCATCAATCACTTTAGTGTTGACGACCTTCCATAGAGGGAACATTCAATTTGTGTGTTGTTCATCATTGAGATACTCCATGCAGCACATCAACAGCATATAACAACTCATTTTGTCTCCAGTTCCTGGATCACCTCCTCACGGGAATCGAAGACATCTGTGGTCATTATGGACATCATCACTGGAAAGACAAGTATGACTTTCTTTCTTCTGTCTCTTCCCCGTTACGGTCTTTCATAAGAAAACGGCACAAAGAAATGAGCTTTTAGCAGCATCACAATTCTGGTTTTAGTTGAGTTTTGAGGATGTAAAATAGAAAAATGATAATAGAAGGAAATTAACTGAAAGACTGAAAAATCTGAGCGACAGAAGTTAGAATCACTGTTGTTGACGATGATTGAAGCCTTTATAAGTGTGCGTGCACGGGTGCTTTCTCTGCTGTTCTCAGGCTGAGCCGCTTCAACAAGACCTACGTGAAGAGGTGGCTGATCGCGGGCGAGCGCTCCACCGAGCCTCAGCTCATCTCCTTCTACAACAAGATGGAGATGAAACAGGCCATGATGCTGGTGGAGAGCGGGAGCGCCGCCAAGCTGCCCGCGCTCCTGTCCTCCGTCTCCATGCAGTAAGTGTCGTCGTGAGGGGACTGATTGGGTTTCTCCACTTAGTCCTGAGTTTGAATACCAGGAGTGGTTCTATCAAAGAAAAGTGTTGACGGACCTGAACAACCAGGAGAGAGACATTGTTGTGACTGTGTTCAGGTGGTAAGAAAACTTCTCAGAACTGACTATCTGTATTTCTTTTACGTATTTTTTTGTTAAACATGATTTATATGGTACCAAAATATCCTTAATATATTTCATTATTAACTCAGCACATTGCACTTATTCAAATTTTTTATTGTAAAACTTTCTACTTACAATTCTTTTTTCCTTTTCTCTCAGTGTCTGTGTTGTAAAGCACCAAAATGCTAAGCAAATTCCTTTTATATGAAAATCTACATGGCAACAAAAACTTATTCTGATTATAATGATTTTGGACTGGACCAAGATTGTTTTGATTTACTGCAGTGAATATAAAAACATTGCAGGAGCAAAAAGAAAACGTGCAGACGTTACTTTTGAAAAAACAAAATGTATTTCTTTATGATTTCGTAAGCTTACCTCTGAAAAGTATTCAAATACGGCATCACAAACCGACATTAAGGTTACAAACCAACAGTATAGATGCTCACTTCGGGGCATTTCTGTTAAGCCCCCCAAAGTGTGTTGTTGTAAGCAGTGGTAAAATGAGACGTGTGTCTCCACAGAAACATTCAGCCGAGAGGGTCGGCCAGAGGACGGGCCATCCCGAGCATCTCCAAGAGTCGAGAGCAAGAGATCAGAAAGATTCTGCGAGGAAACCTGCAGAACACCAGGCAGAGGGTAGGAAATGATGTTGGCGGATGTGACTTGAGGTCCATCTTTCATGCAGGTTTTGATGTTGTCACAAAGTCAGTATTCTGGTGCTGTCCTTCATGTTTTGTTTTTTTCTCCTCAGCTTCGCTCCTACAGCAGACACGACCTGTTCATCGACCCGTTTGAGGACAACGTGAGTGAAGTCCGCTTCAGGAAGCAGCGTGTGGAGATGGAGAGGAGGGTGAGTTTAACACAGCTGTGGAAATACAAGATAGAAGAGTGTCTGTTTCTAGAGTTTAGCTGCTGTATGTGACCTTATTTATAGATTCAGTACTTTTTCTAATACTAGTTCATTCTTTGAACCTTATTTATGCTTGCTTTGATTTCAGGATTCTGAATATTAGTTGGTATTAAGTTATGAAATGAAGTCAATCCTGACAAACGCTTGTCTCATTCACAGATGAGTCACTACCTCACAGTTCCTGCAAACCGCCAGGAAACACCGCCAGTGAGAAAAGTCTGCTTTGAACCAGGTCAGACTTCATCTCATCGCATGATGAAAGGTGTTCGTGGAGATGTCCACCTTTACACACAGCTTTAGAGTCACAGTGAAGTCATGAACGTTCTTTCACTCAACGTGTTTCTGGGTAACAGAATGTTGGATGTGAAATCAAAAAGAGAAGAAGTAACAGTTAAAGTAATAGTTTACAGCTGATCTTATGTGATGACATAACAACTAAACCAAGATTATACTTTAATTTGATACAAATGCACCTAAGTTGACAACAAAACAGTGTCGCCATTACATTGTTTATCCACCGGACAGCGCTGAAAAGTAAATTTTTCAACTGTAAAATGTCCTGCTCAGTACATATCTTGAAATTTATTTGATAAAAAAACTAATTTAAGGGTTATTAAATCTGGAAGTAGTATTCAGAAGTATCCTTTTACTTTTATAAAAATAGCAATACCACAATGTTTAAATACTCTGTTAAAGATCTGTCCTTACTCCAGTAAAAGAACAAAAGTATCAGCATCAAAATATACTTAAAATAACAAAAGTATATATGTTATATTACTGGATCATAATGTTGCAGCTGGTAAAGGTGGAGCTCATTTAAAAGGTGCTAAATACGACACTGGGAGCATTTCCATTGCCTCTCCGCATAGCACCGGCTGAGCAGCTAACAGTGCTCACACCGTTAACAGTGCAAAAGAGCTGACTGAGCTAACAGTGTTTACCTGAGGGTGGGTGCTACGCGTCATCAGCTGTATGAAAGGGGGGGCCTTTCACATGCACTAAAAGCACGCACAGCCAGACCCGAATATATAAACAAAGAACTCTGATTACAAAACACACGCAGAGGAAGAGCAATTTCATTCTCTGCTCAGCTAGATGTTACTCCACTGTATATCTACGGAGCAAATAGTTGTTAGCTGCTATTTTAATGCTCTGAATCCTGTTTAGTGCATCTTTAATGACTTCCAGGGAGCATAAAATGTAAATACTCATGTAAAGTACGAGTACCTCAAAACTGTTCTTAAGTATAGTACTTGAGTAAATGTTGTTTAAGCGATGAGACACAAACTCATCCAAACATCCCTAAGAAACAATCCTCCCTGAAGCCCAAACTGCAGCAAAAAAATCACTTTTTCATGAATTTGCAGCTGCTCGTAGACAACGTTTAATCACTAATATGTCGCCACACTGCGTCTGTATCCACCAGAACACCGGGTTTACACTTACGATGACAGCGAGAGTCCCCGAGGCCAGGCGGCTCAGCCGCGTCCCAGCCCCCCCGATGCCGTCAGCCTGTTGAGCGAATCCCCCCCGGGGCCCAAACAGAGCGGCAAGCTTGGAGCCAAAGTGCCGGACCAGGAGCAGGAGGAGCAGGACCAACTGAAACTATCACGCTGCCTCAGTGACCCCGGTCCAAACAAGGAAGAGGACCTCTCATGATGAAGCACATCATTTACAGTTTTTGAAATCAGAGGATGGATCTCATGTCATCTGTTGCACCCAATGAGTGGAGACCCCTGATGTAGCAAAGCTTGATATTTCTGAAGTTTTTCCAGAAGTTCGTAAGGATTTTTATCGTGTAACATATTACCAAAGCATGCACCACTGGCCATTCACCATTTCAGGGTTATATTACAGCCAGAAGTGAGCAGAGTGTCAGCATTTTTGTGTGTCATAACAAGCAGACTTCCATCAAATAGAAGATCACTTGTTTTAACAAGCTTGAGGCACCAGATGGGTGGAGTTTACTCCCTCAAAGCACAGTATAACGAATCTACATGATGTGGTATTACTATCGCTATATATCGATTTATCGATATATCTTTAGCAACAAGGCGTTGATGCACAGAACTACCAAAGATGTGTTCGATGTTAGAGGCATTTGATGCCCTAATATTAAAAATAGTCTTGCATGTATTATAAATTATATTAAAACTCGCAGATATTTATATTGTTATCGATCAGGCTACCCTGGTGAAGTAGAAAGCAGAAATCTGGGGTTCCAAGAATATTGAAATACCTTAAAAGTCAAGAAGAAACTGTAACAAATATTGTTTGACCGAGGTCTGTGAACAAGCGTTTAACATTGCTGCATGACTGGTCGGTGTTTTCTCAGGGACTGCGACAAGGCACAGTATTAACAGATGTATTAACAGACGGCCTCTGCAGAAAGAAAATAGCTGTTTCTGTCCAGAATGTGCTCCACTTGTCTCTATTCATACCGGGACTGTTTTGTGAGTTTCTGTAACATTCCAGCAGTATTGGAGTTTGTGAATTTTTGTTGTGTGACACGGCTCTGCATATCTGTGTTCCTGGTAACTGAGCATGCTTTGAGGTTAAAGAGGTGAATCGCCTTTTCATATCTGCACTGGACTGCCTGAGCTTCTGCTGCCTGCACATGTTTGCCTTAAAACATATTGCTTTTTGTGTGGTATCCAGTCGAAGTATTTTTCTATTTTGAAAAAAACAAAAGTCATAAACATTCTCAAATGAAGGAGAGCTTTAATTACTGTGTAAAATAAAGAATATGCCATTGCTTAAATTCAGGGATTTTGTGGGATTTTTGGATGTGAAAGCATCTTCACATCCATCCTCCTGGTTTATCTGGTGTCATATTTCATCCACACGTTACTTCACATCTGTTGTTCGGCACATCCTGGCTCTCACTGGAAATCCCAGTCCAAATAACAGGGAGTTTGAAGTCCCCGGCATGCCAACCAGCAGTTGAGTGTGACGGGATTATGACAACAAGAACGACAAACATCCTCGGGCAAGCGACGCCACCAGCAGACATGGACTTCAGCGGCACCTGGAAAGTTTATTCTGAGGAAAACCTCGAAGGGTTCTTAAAAGTAGTAGGTAAGAATATTTAATGTATTTATTCGTTTATGTATGCGTGCGTCTTTTATTTTCTTTTTCCTAAATTATGCATTCAAGGTGCACCTGAAATGGTTGTCAAAATGCGAAAGGAAGTCAAACCGGTGCTGGTGATCGAGCAGAACGGCAGAGACTTCACCTACACGATGAAGACCCCCATCTGCACCAAAGTCTACTCATTCAGCCTGGGGAAGGAGTCCGAGATGACTGCTGTGGATGGCAGGAAGTTTAAGGTAATCAAAGCCTTTTAAACTCTTCTTGTAGATTATGAACACAGAAGTGAAGACGTGATAGTTGTACGTGAGCTGATGGTGCCAAAATTTGACCCTGAAAAGTGTCTCCATTCAGGGTCTATGTAGGCTTCGGTCCTGTTTCTCTGCATTTTTAAAGGTGAAACATCGTTGTCTTTTTCAAGTTCATACTTGTGTTTGGTTTCTCTACTGGAACATGTTTACAGGCTTTAATGCTAAAAAAAACAACTTTATTTTCCTCATACTGTCTGTCTGAATACACCCGTATTCACCGTCTGTCTGAAAGGCTCTGTTTTAGCGCGCTTAAATGAAATTGTGTTGCAGGCAACAGCTTGGGTCCATGTTTACTTCCTGTCAGCTGATGTTATCTGAGTTAAACCTGCTTTATTATTTTAAAAAAGACATGAAAATCTCACTTTTTACAATATGGGACCTTTAACGGGATATATGCGTCCTTTTAAAACATTTTTTGGATGGTTTAACTTGCACTTTTTATTTATTTTCTTGGCTAAAGGGAGTTTTGTCTTTAAAAATGTAAAGTTCTGTCCCATGCAATGTTTTTGGTCAGTGCACTGTCAGAGAGGAGAACGGGAAGCTGATTGCTGAGACTGAAAAGTTCACCTCCGTCCGTGAGATCCAAGAGGGCGACATGGTTGAGGTCAGTGGATATAATTATTTTTTAAAACTGCTGTAACTTCGAGGGATTAAGTGCAAGAGAGAAACCTATACAATAAGTGAGTTATTTTTTCTTTTATTAATGTGAAAGTGCCGTGTTTTCTCTCTGTCTCTGCCTCCTCACTGTTCCAGACTATCACTGCTGGCCCTGTAACTTTCATCAGCAGGAGCAAACGCGTCTGATCCACACCTGGCAGCTGATGGGGCCTCTTAGAACTTCTCAGCTTCGAGCAGGGAGACATGTGGAAATGACATGATGGAAAATAAACGTAAACCTTAAAAAAAAAGCTTCAAATATTTTTATGAATGAATTGAATGATGAAATAAACCAACATGTTTGTTTTTATCAGTGATGGAATGTAACGGTGCAACCTACATTAACTCAAGTACTTAAGTACAAATTTAAATAAAGTACAAATGAAAACCATGTGTCTCCAAATTGGGGGATATATTAATTGAGATAATTCTCCTACTTCTTAAGCAAAATAAAATATTTTAAAATATTCTTAGATCAGCTGGAAAATGCATCAAAACCTGAAGAAAATGTGTTAATAATTGGCTCTTACAGGACCCATCGGGATGCTACAAACAGAGATTACATCACCCAACAGTATATATAAAGTATATAAGAAATAGCACAACCTCAAACATTTACAACAATAAAATTCAACATACACATTAATGCAGCAGTAATATTAAAAAATAATATATTGGAAACACTGACAGGGAATATCTTGAAAGAATACTTTTACTTTTGATGGGGTACTCTAAGTAGGCCTACATTTCAGGGTTATTGCAGGACTTTTACTTGAAGTGGAGTATTTCACAGTGTGGTATTACTACCTTTACCTATGTAAATGTTCTGAACACCATCAATGGTTAGTTTGTATTCAACTCACCCGAACCCTCTGCCAAAGCTGCAGGTGATGAGCTCAAACGGCAGAGAGCGCTGTGAGTATTTATTATCCAATTTTTGTTGGAGAGGAAGAACCAGGAGGCTTTCTAAGTGCGCATGCGCAACAAATATTTTCACTATAGATTCTCCTTTCCCAAAAAACATTTCCTTTATTGAGTGAGTGTAACTTTATGGCCAAATACATGAGGCCCCCAAACACGTCTTTGTTCGTCAGAAACATCTCCGATGAGTCCAGGTGAGTCCACACTCCGACCCGATGAGAACCACTGATCCTCTACTGACGCAAGCATCGCACATTAACGTTAGCTCACGTTAGCTGAATTAGCTTAGCAGCTAAGGTTAGCGTCCTCCGAGAAGCCTCAGGTTACGTTAAACCAGCATGCAGAAGCGCTTTATGTTTGAAATATTTTGCAGCTGCAGCTCCTATAGTTACGAATAAAACCCTATCTGTAATATCAATGCGTCTTTGTTGAGGTTTAATTTGTTGGTAACGTTTCTTTGTTTGCATTGTTATTCTGTCGCACGTTTTCATGTTTAGAAAATAAGCTAACGTAGCAACATTAGCCAGCTAATTCAATATTTCAGTAGATTTGTTTTTAATAATTTGCAGGTAAATAAAGTTAAACTTATAATTTAATATGGTTGGACTTCAATTATAACAAGTTGAGCTGACGTCAGGTTACAGATATTTTAAATTAGCTAATTAATTCTGACGTGCTATAATATGTCGTTATAACGGTAAGCGTCTTATTATAACGTTATGGTTAAATGCGTTGTAATGACTAGCTGTAATTTAAATACCGACTCAACATGGACATACTTCAGAGTTATCACAAAGCATTTGAAACTACTCTAATGTAAAATAAATAATCTGCTCAACGTTACTTGGTCTCATAAAAGTTTATGAACATTAACACAATAAGAGTTAGTTTATGTCAGTGATAGTCATTTTTTACTACAATGTGCTTGTAAAAGTAACTTTGAATGCAGAAGAGCTTTTGTTGTTACCGAAAAGGTATAAATAAACAAAACAAATTGGAATAACTAAAAATTGTAATTGGAAATTAGTAAAAAGGGTAAGATGATAAAAATGACATTTATGTCTATTTTAAGCGGTGTGTAAGAATGTTTTAAAAATGATGTCGGTGCGAATCTTCATCAAGATTTTCTCTTCATTGTGGTAACAAATTGACCAACACTGCTGCATCTGCTTATGTCAAGTTATTGCGTTTTACATTGAATTGCATGTTGAACAAAATAGTGTAAGTATCTTAAAGAGTCAGTTCACCCCAAAACTTGACAGAACTGTTGCCAGAATAATAATTCGCACAGTGTTGTGGTGAACTGTCCCTTTTTAGCCCTCTCGTCAGCTGCTCTCCCAGCTGCTGCTACTGGTTGATGATGTAGGTAGAGTTGCCCGTGATGGTCAGTTGAGTCATACTTGTATTTACGGTGTTCAGGCCTGAGGATTTGCGGCGTGAGTTTGGCCGCTATGGGCCGATAGTGGATGTCTACATCCCACTTGACTTCTATACACGTCGATCAAGAGGATTTGCATACATTCAATATCCTTTCCCAATGAGTGTTTACTGTGCATGTGTGCTCCTGCTAACAAAGCATTTTCAATTTCTTTTCAGCAGAGAAGATGTGCTTTTGTGATGTGTTTTTCTTGCACTCAATTTGATTAAATATCTAACAAACGTATTTCTCTGTTATTGCTTCAGAAAATGTAAAAGCATCCAGTTGTGGAATCGGCCACAAAGAGTAACAAAGACCCGTGTAGAGTAGAAGTAAAGACAAGTCACACAGACCTTCAGGATCAGAGGGAGGGAAAAGGTTGAAAAGAGAAAGTAAAGCATGAAGAGGAAAAGGGAACGGAGACAAAGCTCGGATATGGCGGCAAAGAATTGGGAAAAGAAAAGAGGTTTAAGAGGAAAAGGCGAGCAGGAAACCAGAGTCCCTGTGGGAGTCGATTAAAGAGTGTAAAGATCAAGATGAAGTTCAAAGTCAAGCATGGGCAAAGGTAACGAGTCTGAATTATTTTGTATCCTCACAAGACAAATCCACAAATCTGACATGACACCAAAATCAGCTTTCCCTGTGACATCAATGACATATTTAATCAAAGTAATTAAATCGAATATTAAATGTTTTGTGATTTGTTCATACATTTGTCGTCCTGATCCCTCAGACAATTATTTGATGTGTTTGAAAAACTTGCTTCATCTTTTATCTCTACAAAAAATCAACAGGTGTATTTGTTTGTTGGTTTTTTTCATTTGCTATACCATATCAAGTAATACGTAATCTATGCTCATTATAAACTGTTTTGTCCTTTAAATCAGGCCACACAAATTAGAGAAAATGTTTGATGAATCCCTCTTACCATACATGTACATGTATTTTTACAAGGAATTTTTTTTCCTTTTCCTACTTCGCCCCTCTGAGAGTAAAAACAACAATCAAAACCTTCTTTGAGTTTGTGTGGCCTTACCAAAAATGCGAGCAAACAAAAACCCTTAACCAGCCAGCATATTTGAGGATGTTCGTGATGCAGAAGATGCCCTTCACAGCCTGGACAGGAAGTGGGTCTGTGGCCGGCAGATTGAAATCCAGTTTGCCCAGGGTGACAGAAAGAGTAAGTGTTGAAACTTTTTTTAATATTTAATTTTGCAACCAATTACTGTCGGGTCTGGTGTTGAGGTCAGATGAAGCTGTGGAATGGAGGGTGTTGATAGTTGAAGTGAGTTAAATGAACGATAATATGAAATTTGACAGCAAGGCGCTGTGGTAGCAAGATAAAAGATTAAAACCCGGCTAAATATTCTGCAGGTGTTTCCCGTTCCATTTAGGTATTCATACTGGCACACCCGAGGAGAGCTATTGTAAGCCATGCAGTGTGTACTTATCTTCTAATGCATATATGACTGCAGGCACCAGCTAAACTGGTCATGGAAGTGTTAACTGGTTCACATCTATAGAGGTGATGTCTGTCGGAAAGCACTTTTGAATCCAAATTTTGTTAGACACAAAAATATAAAACAACTGCTACTTGTGGGAATGTTTTGTGCATTCTGTTTCCTGCTCAGGGCTCTAATCCTCATCACTTTATCTTTTCTTCTTTTTTCAGCACCGAATCAGATGAAGACGAAGGAACGATCTCCGAGCAGATCTTCCCGACACGACGACCACGATCGAGATGGCAGACGCAGACGTTCGCGCAGCCGCAGCAACGAGCGATACAAATCGCGCAGCCCTTCTCACGATCGCCACCGCAGGCGGTCCGAGAGTCCTCGCGAGTGAGTTTTACTTTCAGCAGACGTATTCCTCACAATTGTTGTGCATGAATATTAGTTTGAAAAGGGGAGAATAAACTTTTCATGTCTGCCTTCAGGTCTCGTGGACGGGTGTATGGAGGGAGAAGCAGGAGCCGCGAGGATGAAAGGTAGAGCTTCTCTTTGACTGTGGAGACAGGGTTTGCATCTGTTGGGGGCAGCCAGGGGGACAATGTAAACAATAACATAACATTCTCAATAAGGCCACAACATACTCATAATACAACACATTTGATCACGTCTTTGAAGTAGGCTCTATGTCCCGCCCCTCCTCTACTGTGATTGGACGGCTGGGTAAAAAGTGACGGTGACAAGCGCAGTGTTTAAACCAAAGTTGAACATTTTCAATTCTTGTAAAAGAAATGCCAAAAGTGCAGCGCTTGGTCTAATAGACGCTCAGCGCCTCGTCACGCAGCTAGCTTTTGTAGCATAGCATAAATACGCAGAGCTCCCATAATTAATTTAATACGCTGGCTGAGAGAAGTTTATCTTGGTCATCTTGGTGTGTATTGCTGTACAAATACACTTTGGCAGACTTGTGAAATTGTTTAGATAATTGTGTGTCGGGTACAAACTGAATTGTCTTCACATTTGACACACGGGACATTTATGTTGAGTGCCCAGGAGTTTAGACAATCGGTGTCTAAGTGGTCTCATCGTGTGTTTTCAGATACAGGCAGAGGCCTCGGAGAGAGTCCAGAGGGAGATCACACTCCAAATCCGCATCTCCGCGAGAAGCCGTCAACCCGGCGTCGACTTCCCATTACCCCGAGGAAGAAGTGCGACGGACACACACCCCATCCCGCTCCAGGTCCGCGTCCAGATCACGCTCTCGGTCCCGTTCTCGGTCCCGATCCTGGGCCGGACACAAGTCGGGAGGCCGTTAGAACAGCACCCGCTCCCCCCTTTCTATCCGTCGTCGTGTCAGATTAACCAGAGCTGGTGCATCTGTCGATAAATGTTTGTTTTGACATGAATGTAACATCCACTGAAGCATTTATAGAAAGCTTGTTTTCGCGGCTCCATTTTAAGAAGAACGATGCTGGTGCTTTGCTTGGTTTTATAAAATAGTATTGGTGAGATTTCCCGATTAGAAATATGAAACAGTCAGTGGTTTCTGTGTTCAGTGGTAGTCGGCCAGGAATAATTGTCTTTTTTTATAACTGAGGATTTTGTTTTCTCAACCCTATGCACCCATTTTTGCAAAAAAAGAACATTCAGTATTTTAAAATGAATCCAGTCTGTTAGCGAACCAAACCAGCGTTTCTGTGTGTTTGATGTCAAATCACATACTTTCAAATCTACCGCTGACCTTTCTCCAGAGGTCTTTCATGTTTTTCTTCCCATCGTTCAGTGACCGGTGTTATTTTACTATATCAAAACGAATATTCCAAAACCTATATTGACAAAGTAGCAGACTGTATTTTGAAGTGCACTGCTTTACCCAGCAACTATACACGATTGAAAAAAAGCAGACTTGACATCCCAGCTTTAAGTCACGACAAAGTAAAGATTTTCATCCTAAGAAAAGGAGTCAATGGCTGCCTGGAAGAAAAACCTAAAACAAAATGTAACGTGTGTTTTCTGTGTTGGGAAAAGATCAGCAGTAGTGTCACTAGTATCAAGTATTGAGGCTGAAACACACAGGAACACTGCTGTAAGATGTTGTCGACATGCGACTTTAACCACAAACTGTTAAAAATGTACATTAATCCGTTTAATTTTTGTGATGTTTTCTGTATGATTACATTTCTTTTTTCTTTTGTTTTTCCAAAAGGTATTTTATTTTTTGGAAACCTTTCTCCAAATTTCAGTTGTGAGAGGAGAAACAAAATGCTCTTGTTGGTGTTTGCACGACTGTTGCTGTTTTTTCAGAATGAATCTCGTCACTGCATGTTTTATTCTCCTAATCTTCTATCTTTAGTAGGAAGAAAACTCTTATTTTGAGTAATAAATAGATAACATTAGTATAAGGAAACGGTGTGTGACTTCACTTTGTAAACTCTGCTTGTAGATGCAACTCACTGAAGGTGAAGAAACGTCACTTTATTTCAGGAGTTTAAGGAGAGAGTTAAATCAGTCTGCAGTCATCTGCATGGAAAACAGACCAGTCCAACCAGGAACATTGATTTCCTTTTAATGGATCAGTAGCTGGGAGGAACAACTTAAATTAGATTCATGATGAAGAAGCAACCATGGATGAAATCGGACATGCCCCATTGATCTCTGTTTAAAAAAAAAAAAAAAAAATTGATTAAACAAGTACAATGGCAGCATGGAGGCTTAATGTCAGTTACTTCATCAGGAATAGCTGGAATATAGTTCAGGGTTGGTTACGAGTTCAGAACCAACTGAACCAGGATAGTACCGCATTTACTCCACAGTACATATGAGCACAGCTGGGTTGCAGATGACCCACATGTGAAGGCTGATCAGTGACAGAGGGGGGGTCGGGTGCAGTTATTTCCAACTGTGTACGTAACACTGTGGATTACAGCATTACGTCTGTGGTGCCGGCTCCTTGATCTTTGTTTTTGTACCTGATGGCTCCGCATGCAGGAACAACTGATGAAGCTCTTATTCCTCTTATATGTATTGATTGAACTGAAACAATCGATTAGTCAACTGACAGAAAATACATGTGCAATAATTTTGGTAATTGATTAATTAGTTTTTTGTTCATGTTTGGACAAAGCACACAATTTGAAGAGGGAAATTGTAGTGACAATATTTACCAATTTTCCAAAACGATTAGTCGATGAAGATAAGTGTATTTTGTGGGATTGCATGTGAATAATACCTTATAATAATAACAGACCAGTTAGCGAGACCATCTGCTAATGTCCTGATCGGACATGTAGTGGTTCATGGAGCTGGTTAAAGTAGAGCTGCCGGAAGATAAATACTCTGAGGTAATACTGTACATCGGTTCAATTTAAGATAGAAGATGCTGTAACCATTAATATGGTTAAAAATCTAATCAGGATGCCTCCTCGGCGCCACCCACTGGAGGTTTTCCGGCCCAACTGGCCCAACTGGTAGGAGACCCCGGGGAAGACCCAGAACGCGCTGGAGGGATTACATCTCCCAGCTGGCCTGGGAACACCTCGGGATCCCCCAGAATGAGCTGGAACATGTTGCGGGGGAGAGGGAAGTGTGGGTCAGCCTGCTTGGCCTGCTGCCACCGTGACCCGACCCCAGATAAGCGGAGGAAGGATGGATGGATTTTGAGGGTTTGGAACAAATTCCAACAAAGGATGTAGCTGAGCCGGGATCTCTTGGCAGTACTGGAATCTGATACTATTATGTGTTTTCTTTGGAATAGAATCGCATGACAATAAGAATCGTGTTTTCATGACCTGAGAATGAGCCGCTCATATCTACACAAAACTGGCAAATAATGTTTCTACAGGAGGCCGGAGCGGACAAACCAAACATTGCTTCTAGAAAGTGCCGTTCACGTTTCGGCGTCGGCCTCCCGGCCACTGTAGTTCTCCTACATGCGTGGAACCTGGGAGCAAGTTTCAGTTGGTTGCAATCTGCAACCTCACCTCTAGAAGCTGCGAAATCCTACACACTGCACTTTTTTCAGGACGATTTATTGATTTTCTAAATTCGTTTGACCGATTAATCGTGTAATTTGTTCAGCTCGAGCCGCAACAACCAACGCAGAGAGCTCGTACCACACTGCTCATTAGTTTAACAAGGCTGTCTTGCAGCATATTGTTGTAAATGAGAAAGTATCTAGCATTTTAAAATTATCTTTCAATGTAAGGGTTGAAATTTAAATCAGGATATTGCATCTTCTTGCATGGATTATAATCCACTTCACAAGATTCTTATCAAACCCAGTGCACCACTTCTGTCCCGTGTGATGCGGAGGACCAAACCAGTTCAGGGTCCTTTAGGGTTCAACCGCAAACTGGTATAAATTGCGACACATTTCACCCCTAATGACTGGGCAGGAACTGGCAGTCGGTCCATTCATACCGCTGCGAGGTAAATGGCAACAGAGCAGGGGTATTGATCGTTTCTGTCTTTCAAAGGCTATAAGTTGTGAACAACCAGAGCCAGCAGGGATCATTTGTTAGTGTCCAGTATTCACCAACAGTGGAGAGAGAAGTCTCTCCCGGTGTTGAAAGTTTGACCTTTTTAGAAGAGGATAAAGAAGATAAACGATGTGCTTGTAGGATTGCTTTCAGCAGCGTTGTTGCCAAAAGGCCTTTATTGTTACATTTCATATCCAAGATGAAAGGTAAGTCGACTTAACTCTTTTTGTTAAATCATACGGTGCATTTTATTGTCTTTTGTTGTAGGAAAAAACTGTTTCTTATTAATAACATCATTACAATTATTGATTTGTATTTGATTCTGAGATGATTGGTGATGCCCAATGTTACCAATATATCTTATATCGTTTTATTGAAATGCTGCTGTATGTTATCGTGTACATGAAAATGGTACAGAATGCCTAATGCAACAATTTAAGATTAGTACTTAAGCATTTTAATTCATGTCTGATGGGTTGAGGTTCTGTTGTAACCGGGTAAACTGGTTGCACGATTGAAAACCTTGTTCTCAGCAATGGTGGAAGAAGTATTTGGATCTTTAGTCTTAGCAGTACCAGAGTGTGGAAATACTCTGTTACAAGTCCTGCATTCAAACTTTGATCTTAAAAGTACATAAGTACTATCAGAAAAGTACTTAAAGTAGCAAGTGTAAAAAAATACTCACTATGTAGTAAATGGTTAATTAAAGCCATTTTAATGCCATCTGTATCATTATCAAATTTTTAAAACTCCCAAATATCGACCTTATTATCGCCTTCTGAAATCCAGTCTTTAATCAGGTTTCATCAACAATCATAACTTTGATTTTTATTCCCTCATCCGTTACAGCTCTGCCAATGTAAAACATGGGAGACTGGAACTTCCTTGGAGGGATCTTGGAGGAGGTGCATATCCACTCCACCATGGTCGGCAAGATCTGGCTGACCATCCTGTTCATATTCCGGATGCTGGTGCTGGGCGTCGCGGCGGAAGACGTGTGGAACGACGAGCAGTCCGACTTCATCTGCAACACCGACCAGCCGGGCTGCCGAAACGTCTGCTACGACCAGGCCTTCCCCATCTCCCTCATCCGCTACTGGGTGCTCCAGGTCATCTTCGTGTCCTCGCCCTCCCTGGTGTACATGGGCCACGCCATCTACCAGCTGCGGGCTCTGGAGAAGGAGCGCCACTGCAAGAAGGTGGCTCTCCGTCGGGAGCTGGAGGCGGTGGACGCGGAGCTGGTGGAGGTGCGGCGGAGGATCGAGAAGGAGATGAAGCAGCTGGAGCAGGGGAAGCTCAACAAGGCTCCGCTCAGGGGCTCTCTGCTGTGCACTTATCTGGTCCACATTATCACGCGCTCAGTGGTGGAGGTCAGCTTCATGGTGTGTCAGTACTTCCTCTACGGACACCGGCTGCACCCTCTCTACAAGTGTGAGCGGGAGCCGTGCCCGAACGTGGTCGACTGCTTCGTCTCCAGGCCCACCGAGAAGACCGTGTTCATGGTGTTCATGCAAGGGATCGCCTGCCTCTCTCTCTTTCTCAGCCTCCTGGAGATCATGCACCTGGGATTCAAGAAGCTCAAGAGGGGCATCCTGGACTACTACCCGCACCTGAAGGCCGACCTCGACGAGTATTACGTCGACAAGTCGAAGAAGAACTCGGTCGTGCATCAGGTTTGCGTAGGCACGTCCGTGGGTCGCAAGACCACGATCCCCACGGCGCCGTGTGGATACACGTTGCTGTTGGAGAAGCAGGGCAACGGGCCCACCTACCCTCTCCTTAACGCCTCCTCTGCCTTTGTCCCGATAAAAGGGGACCCTGGCGCAAAGCCGGATGGCCATAAGGATGGCAAGGAGGAAGTGCCGAGCCCCACGGAGCAGAACAGCAACTCCAATAACACGAGCAGCGAGACGCGTTCCCCTCCTGCGGACAAACAGGAGGAGCCGGAGGAGCAGTCTTCGCCCCGTTGTGAGCACATGGAGTGCGCCAGCCCCAAGTACCCCACCCTCCCCGTGGCGGACGCCTCCTCGTGCACAACGATGTCAGGCGTTGCGAGGAAGTCGCGGAGGGTCAGTCCACCGTGGAACTGCTCAACGCTGGTGGAGGGGAACGGCTCGGACAGCGGAGACTCCTACCACGGGAACAACAGCATGAAGCTGCGCAGCAGCTGCGTGGGACCCAGAGCGAGGATGCTCTCCAAATCAGACATTAAGAGACCGAGCAGGTCTCAGAGCCCGGACTCCGCAGGGGAGCTGAGCTCAGTGTCTCGACACAGCCGGGAGAGCAACAGCCCCATCGCTTCCTCTCCGAACCGCAGAGTGTCGGCGGTGAGCAGCAGCAGCAGCAGAAGGGCCCCAACTGATCTGCAGATATAAACAGACTGTACGCTCGTCGACATGGCAACAGAAACTCTCGATTAGCCAGGTGTGGGCACTTTTCACATATTTAGAGTTCTTATAAAGACATTGAAACAAGCACAAAAGGCCTTTGTTACTCGTTGCTGTGGAGATTATGCTATCGACTCCAAAGAGCAACCTTGATTTCCAATAACTCTGCAATCCAACTTCCACTTTTCAGATTTTACCAGGTGAGCAGACCACAATGGACTGTTCAGTCTTAGTGCATTCACTGGTCTGTTACAGAGATTCAGATGGACATTTAATGATTCGACTGTACGTGATAGCTCTGTCTGAATGATTAGAGGGGAATGGAAAACTGAACCGCAAATCTATAATGTTGTTTCAGGTCACAACGTGCAGTTACGCAACCTGATACTTTTCAATCAGTGACGCTGATGGGTCACGTGGGAGAGAAGTGCTAAATATCTTTGCCTTGTTACGGTGACATGAATAAAAAAAAATGGTGTTTAATGTGCTGTCATTTATCAGACCTTCCCTTTGGGCACATGAGCAGCAACCTCTGAATTATTGCTTTTGTATTCTTACTAACGCAATTGAGATGATATCAATTAAAATGTCTTTGAAAAAATTAAAGGCCAGTCTAAGAAAATATTATAATTATTATTTTTTTATGTATTTATTTCAGATGAATGGCTGCGTATGTAAACAGAATCCTTTGGTTGAAAACAGAGGAACAATCGTAAATGTAGGACATCAAGAGAAGGACTGTTGCCAAATGCTGAATATTTATTTTTATTTATGACAAAGCAAAAGTTCCTTGTTGATACGCAACAAAAGAATTGTGATTTTGTATTCACTGTACATCCCTTAAAATTTAATAATATTTCTTTATATTTTTACCCCAGAAAGCAATGACAAAACCCCTCCTTTCTACTCTGCTGGCCCCTCCTCAGGCGATGGTTCGTACTGCATCAGCTGGAAAATGATATTAATGCAGAGATTAGAGGTCACAGTAGCAGCAGCACACTCAAACACGGTTATCTGGTTATCTGTAAATGTGGACTTTTACTAGCATCTCACCCTGTTTCTCAGCTCTTTGTTCTCCCCCATGAGAAGGTTGCATTTCTGTTGCAGGTCAGCCAGCTCCATGCGAAGAGCCTCAGCGTCCGCTGACTCTGGACCAGTCGCATCGAGCTGAAGCTTTATGAAACTGTGCCGGAGGTTAAGGTCAACGTCTGTTTACAAGTTTTAAAAGCCATATTCCGGCTGAATGGCTGTTTATCTCCCCAGCAGTATTGCTGACATTTCAAACATACCCACATGCTTTCAAAGGGGAAATACTGTGCTTTCTATTCACTGACTGTGTGATAAATCTGTAAAACACTGAAAACTTTTTCCAGGAATTATATTGCTTCCTTGTCTGGAAATCTTGGAAGGTCCAAGTCTCCTATTCTTAAATGTATGCCATCAAGGAGAACTGCCATTGCATTTACAGGTTAAAGTGCATGTGGAAAAGGGGGCTTGTAATGGCAAAGTTTGAGTCTTTCCCATTTCTGTTGCCATGTTAGCTCTAGGACTATTACAACAGGGACCACAACTCTTCTCAGCTAGTTCCCGGAGTAAACCCTGAAGAATTTAAACTGAAAGCAGACACAAGGCCTTCTGGTTTTAATAAGCTGGATATTATTTAGTCTATATATTTCATCAAATGTACCATAATGGTTGACCAAACTCATCCGCTTGATTTCATCGTTAAAGGCACAGAAAGACTCGTTTATTACCCCTAAACGTTATATAATGCTGCCCACGTGAGAAAAGGATACTCCAGTGCGTTGTCGGGTTTGTCATTCTCTTCATAAAGTGCCACTAAAACTGCAAGAAGACAAACGAAATGGCAATGAATCAGCGCAGGGATATCGGTGGAGAGTGAGCGTATGCGTGGGTTAAACACCTTGCATTGGGTGCACGATTAGCGTTACATGCTAATAAAATAAGGTCTGCCAATGCCTTGTGTACATACCGCTGGTTATAGTGTCAAGGACTCCCGATTTTTCGAGATATCTTCTAAATTGTTCTCGCTTCGATTCTGAGGCCTGAAACACAAGACAAATATTTTCTGGCTGAAGGCTACACATAGGTTAGCAAAACACTGCTTCGTGGTTTCACCCACGAAATAATTGTGGTTAAATAACTACACGCCTGCCTTTAACGTTAGCTTCATCCCAACAAGCAGGGGGGCACATTGGTGTTATGCTAGCTAGCTAGCTAGCGCTTTACAACAGCAACTATAACAGCTAGCTACAGAAAGTACGTCACCAAATACTCACTCGGTAATGGGCCATGGCTGCGACGATACCTGTATAGTTTACAGGTGCCTTAAAACGGCTGACTTGTGGTTGGTGATTCAATGACGTCAGCTGTATTGTATGTTTGCTTCAACATACAGGACATTCGTTGCCATAACAACACATTTAAACGGCTGCCGGAAATTACTTCCTTGTGGGCTAGCTTTAATTTGCCAAACAGCCCACTTAAAGGAAGAAATACGACTGGACAGCTGTGAAAAGAAATTTGAAATTATTTGTTTTACATTTATTTTTTAGGACAAGCTAACCGAAGCTTGAGCACGAGAGGAAGGCGGGCCCGGCGTTGGTCACGTGCTCCAGCGTCACATCCCTAGAGTCGATCTATAAAACATGAGCTGTCTTAACTGGACAGCCTAAAGCCAGTCCACTCTTTTATAGATCTACGGTTCCGCAAAGCTTTGCTCATGTGACTGTTCAACACAACACAACTCGTCTCACCAGCTGAGATAAAGACATTTAGATGTTCATTAATTTTTGCGTTCATGCCTTCTTAACTAAGTGTCTCTGGTATAAAACCTCTTCACAAGGTAAGAAGTATTTGCCGAAATATCCGTACAAGTTGTTGTTAAACATGAATACACCAGTTATAGCTAGTTAACGAACAAGTTGAGCTGTATAGCTACAGTTATATAATAACGTTACTGTAACCTAGCAGGTTCAGGTTGACTTCATGTCATGTGTGGTCTTATGCTAACACGGAGCTGTACACTGTTAATGTTATATACACACGGTACATAAGACATTCACTAATAATTGATGATTTTCTTAAGTTAAACTATCTTAAAATGTTGTAATGGTAATGTTATGCCTTATAGACATTACAGGTTGCTCTTGGTATTTCCTGGTGTTTTTCTTTCATTTATAGACAAAGATGTTTCGCACTTTAATTTCCACTTGTTTTATTATATTTAAATTGACAGTACATTCGATTTTACAGTATTTACACACATTTGACAGTGTGGTGGTGTTCTTTAGTGTAGTGACACCTAATTATCAAACCAGTTTTCTGTAAAGACATTTTAAAATGTGCCAAAATAAATGCTACGTGTCATAATAATAATAACCTTTATTTGTGTCAAATCTTTAAAACTGAGATTTGCAAAGTACTTTAAAATACACAGAAAATGTAACATTACCGACTAAGTCCAGAAAAGCACTCAAATCACTTGAAATTAAAGGGAAACATAAAGAAGAAAATGTAAAAAAAGGTCAATGAAATGAGAAAACATTGAAATTATTTCACATGGTGTTCTCTAAGAAGAGAAATCTGAACAGAGAGACCAGAGAAAAAGTCTTTAACCAAGAATGGACAGACTCGTATATCTTCATTCTTCCTACAGGCAGTTCAAAACCAGTAATGTCTCATATGTTCAGAGACCATGGAGTGAGTTTAGAAGCGGTAATGTGAAGCGCCACTACGAGACAAAGCACACATTGTTTGAGCAAACGTACCCACTCACATCCGAAATGAAGGTACAAAAAATAAACGATCGAAGAGACCAAAATGATCAGAATCCTAACAAATTAATTCACTGTCCAACAATGATGTTAACAGAGAGGAATATAGCTGAAACAAGTGGTTTAATTACCACAATAAAAGTCCCTGCACACAAATGTCTCTTGTTAGAAGATGAAAATGATATGGATATCCTGGCTGTTTTGATTGACCACTTCACACCTCACAATTTAAAGCTGCAGGGCAAAGACAATTCAGTTAAATTAATTTTTCTAAATTAATTTTTCATTTTTCAAAAGCTTACTGATTTTATTTTTTAATTCAGCCTACATTTTACTTGGAATAAGAGAACATTTATTTATTATTAGAGTATATATTGTTTATAATTAATCCAGTTCAATTTGAAATCTGACAATAAATATTGTTTAGATTTTATTCAATTGAACTTTCTTTATTTGATTTGACAGTCAGATGTTGACTACATACAGACGTTAATACAACTGTTGGCTACACTTCAATATACATGGGACTAAATCATATCGCAAGTTAAGACATTATTTGGTGTTCCGGACCTTTGCATGAGGAAATTCTCTCTAACTGGACCTTGCTGAACTTCAATTGAATACCCCCGGTATAGACCAAAGGATTAATTAATTAAGTTTTGGGTAGTAGATGTTCCTCAGACAATATGTATTGACCTGAAATGTGAAAATCATTGAGATTGATTAGACAGATGAGCTGTAGTGATAACCAAAGGTTCATGTAACTGTTTATTGACGTGATGACCTCAGACCTTGGTTGAAAACTATATATTTGCCTCTTTTTTTTTTACCTTTGGAACCCGGCCCAACCCCTGAAAAGATATTGGAACGCTTCAGACAAGTATATTGTTCTCAGTTCCTACATTTTTTTGTAGAAAAGGTTTTCTGCTGCCAGCAACATCACGAGTCGTCACTTTTCTGCCCATCAACGCTAGACAGCAGCAGGTGTGAGAAGTGAAACTCTGAACAGTGACTCAGCAGTTATATCCTCTGCTAAAAAAATGATTACCTCTGTAGACAAATCCACTCTATATAGTATAATAGCACTTAATATAAAGAGTTATTGCTCTGACTAATTATTACTAATTATGACTATTAGAGCTGAAACTAACGATTATTTCCATTATTGAATAATCGTTTTGTCTATAGCATGTCAGGAAATAGTGAAAATATCCGTTATAATATCCCAGAGTTGAAGATGGCGTACATTTGCAGTTTTAACCAACAGTTGTGAACAGACGTGTATCAAACACAGTATATATTCTGAGGATAGAAGAACAGCACAACCAGTCTGTTGTTATTGTGTGACCTTTTTTATTTGTTGTTCACAGTTTCATCGAGCTTCATCTTCATCATCTGTCCACCTCGCTCTGAAGTGGATCCATTCTCAGCTTCAATCAGATTGCAGGTTTGGTGAAACTTTTCCAACATCTCGTGAAATCAGGAAGCGTCCCTGTGTGTTTGTGTGCATCGGTGTTATCAAGCTTCCTGTCAAAATCTGCTGATGTGTCGTGCCGTCTTCCTATATATACATGCCCGTGTCATGTGTTGATCTAGCATCCTCCTTGTTCGTCTTTGTTTGTGTTTTTCCATGTCTTCTGATCAGTACCTTTGTCCGTCCAGCAGGTTTCGGGGACACCATGGCTCAGTGACATCATTTTACGGCTTAATATTTCCCGGGTCAGCCGAGTGCCATGCCGCTACCAAGTGGCTGCTCCATCAACTCGGCCCCATTGGACGAGAGCGAGGACAGTGAACCCCTCATCGAGAACGATGCAGGTGTGTGCTATCTTTGTAGCAAGAAACAATGTATTTTGATCAAGATTTTGGGTTTACAAACACATCAAAATTCTCCAAGTTCTTTCAATAGTATTTGTTTTTAAGACTGTAACTAACTAATTACCCAGATCCCAAGGTGATGTCATGAAATATCTTGTCAGGCCCAAAACCTAAAAATATTAAATTTACCATGTAAATATGTAAGAAAAAAATGAAATGAAATAATAATTAAAATAGCTGCAGATTCATTCTGTCAATCAACTAATCGTTGCAGTTGTGTTTATATTTTCATTTAACATAATCTCTGGCGCAAACAAAGGCACTCTCAATTCCAACATGCCATTTAACATTTTTTTGTGCAATGATAAAAAATATGATCTGAGAAGTTCAAAAACGCAGCAAATTAATCTTTTAAAATAATTTTCTGAACGTGCACAACATGCATTTCTCTGCTTGTGTCACCACGCTTTCTCCACATTTTGGTGTATGTCTGTTTTTTGTTGCATGTCATTTCTAAACATAGTGTAGTGCGCTGAAGCTAGCTCTGCTTCTGTTCGCAACATGGAAAAAACAGTGTTTGCAGTAATGGCTGCTGCACAACAATATGCTCTTCTTGCCAGACTCTAGTTTGAGGGGCGGTTGCAGTTCACTCTATTTAAAAGCTGCATAGTTCCTGAAAACAGTTCTGCCAAAGTTAGTGCGTACGTGAGAGACGTCTAAAGTTACACAGTTAGTGGATCATTTACTATAGTTGTTAGATATAAATCAGTGGAGAGATTAGGAGGTTGGAGGCTTCAACTTTAGAGCTTTATAAATGAATAACAGGAGATGGTCTTCTTGACTGTAAGTTTGCAAAAAAAAAAAACAGGATGGTTAGTCTCAGATTTACAAATTAACACAATCTAATGCAAATAACTCTTGTGTTGTTAAAACTGGGGTAGGCAGATTATTTGAGGCAAAAATTCAAAATAAACTTTCAGCATATTTTAATTCAAGTGGTCCGAGACAAAACTCGTAAATGAAAGTAGAGTAGAATGAGAGTGGATATCAGTTTAACATTAAAGGATAATCAAAGATCATTTTGTATTTACCCTTAAAGGAGCAGTGTGTAAGATTTAGTGGTATCTATTGGTGAGGTTGCAGATTGCACCCAACTGAATACTCCTCCGCTCACCCCTCCCTTACTTAGCGTGTCGGAGAACTACGGTGGCCTTCGAGGTAATGTAAAAGAGCAAAAGGCCGTCGCTAGACGACGATATGAAACGCTCATTCTAAGCTAACGAAAACACAGCGATTCTTAGTTTCATGTGATTATACACTACTAATGAACACAGGCTGGTCCTTCAAAGCACAAAAAAGTGAATTGAAACAATTCATTTTAAAAAGGTCATGTTTTTGTTTTGTTTTCTCAGTGTGTTCTTCAGATAGCTGAATGTGTTTGTAAAGTAGAACCTTCATTCCTCACGTTATCTGAAATATCTGAAATGGTATTCACACAGTCCAGACTACATGTAAAAGTCCTTGTATTCTCTGTGGACAGTCCCTCCCCAGTGCTGCTCGGCTCGCCTCAACCTGGCCTTCCTCATGTTCTTTGGGTTCTCTGTGGTCTACGGTCTCCGTGTCAACCTCAGTGTTGCCATGGTAGCCATGGTGAATACCACCGACACCGAACCAGCTCAAAACAACTCCGTAATCAGTGCCTGTCCACGGCCAGCGGGGTCGGAAAACACCAGTGATGCTTTCCTGCAACCTGTGGGGGTAACAGACAGTTTATACATTTTTACCAATTAACTGATTCTTAAACATGTTACATGTGTGTAGTTTGGGACAAAACTCTTTTGATAAGTAACCCACTTCAAGATAACATGTCAGTCAGTTTGTTTCTTTAAATAAAGTAAGTTATGTCAGAAATACTCTGCTTATGGGACTGAATAGCGTTAAAAGAAGATTGATAAGAGACATCTCAATTCTATCCGCTTTGACCCTTTTTACACATTTATAATAGAGACACATTGTATACCACCTCTATCTACCTTTTCCAGCTGGTGAAAAGTCATCTTACATCAGATGGTAATGTGTGTGGCCTGTCAACACTGTCCGAATGCTTTTTTACCAAAAACACCTCTTGTCCCAGATCCCCCAGTACCCGTGGGACTCGGAGACTCAGGGCTGGCTACTGGGGGCCTTCTTCTTCGGTTACCTGTGCACACAGATCCCCGGTGGCTACCTGTCCGGTCACTACGGGGGGAGTATCTTCCTGGGCTTAGGTGTGCTGGGCACTGCTGCCCTCACGATGCTCACCCCTCTGGCCGCCAAGATGGGCTTATACTGGCTGTTTGCACTACGAGCGTTGGAGGGCTTTGGGGAGGTAAGAGTGTGTTGAGTTGTGCAGGAGGCTGTGGGGGAATATGATTTACGATGATGTGCGTTTCTGTCTCAGTTACAGAGGAATTTAACAGCAACAATAGAGTACTGGATAAATCTGTGAGATTGACTATGATTGAGGCTACTCCGGACCAGTTTGACAATCGTTTTTATTACTTCTACACAGTATTCATTAAATGTTCAGAAATGTTTCCACAAAAAATGAATCTGCTGGTTATTGTCTTGGTGATTTGATTAATCGTTTGGGCTATAAAGTGATGAATCGATTATCAAAATAGTTGTAGATTAATCACTTCCACTCTATTTTACATCCCAGAAGTATTACTGCAAAAGAAACATTTGAAACCTCTGATTGCTACACATCCACATTCTATATCGACATAAAAAACAGGCTGCTGTCTGCCTCTCTGTCTCACTCTCGTCCTGTCTCACCGCCTGTCTCTCTACGTTTCTCCAGGGTGTGACATTCCCCGCCATGATGGCCATGTGGGCTCGGTGGGCTCCTCCTCTGGAGCGCTCTCGCCTGATGACCCTGTCTGGATCTGGGGGCAACTTTGGGGCCTTTGTGGCTCTGCCGCTCACCGGCTACATCTGCCAAACCTTAGGCTGGCCCGCTGTCTTCTACCTCTGTGGTGAGGGAGGGAAACCCAAATACAATCACATACCTCAGTCAGCCAGGCCACCTCGGCATGTAGTCCGGCTGAGCGGATCCCAATGCGAGCCTCGGAGCATTCAGACTCAACATGGTTGGATGACAAAAGTGTAACCACGGCCTTTTTTCTCTCACAGAAAAAGATGCCAGGGTGGTAGACGCTGCACAATAATAAGAAATTTAAACATGCAAAAGGTAAAATCGCTATCTGATATAAATGATTAATATGCAAAACATTAGATGTGATCAAATGATAGTAGCTGCTTTATTTAACACACAGAAATCGGTTGCAGTCATTTGTAGAATACTAAGACTACACAAAAGCAGTGGAGGAAGAAGTACTCGGATCTCCTATTTAAGTAAAAGTAGTAATACCACAGTGTAGAAATACTCTGTTATAAGTAATAGTCCTGCATTCAAAATCTTACTTAAGTTAAAGTACAAATATATTGAAATCAAAATAAACTTAAAATTCCAAAAGTAAAAATTTTTTTTAAAAAGTACTCATTATGTAGGCCCCTCGGTAGAATCATCCATAATATTTAGCTGGTTTATAATTATTGATGCATTCATGCGGAAGCGTCTGTAATATTGCAGCTGGTAAAGGTGGAGCTAATTCTAACTACTTTATATACTAGCTTGTAAATAAAGCTAGTAAAGTCTTATCTTAACATTAACAAAGGTAATGTTTTAGCATTGCTCAACGAGAACAATTTGATTTACTTATCTCACTTTGCTACCTGATATTATAGCATTATACAGTATCTCGTTGTGTCATGACAGTGATATTACTTTTCCTCTGATTGTATTTTCAAAATAATAAATAATCCTCTTTGCACGACACATATGGAGCAGTTTGATTTAGTTGTGACATCAGGCATTCAGTGTCAACCCTAAAAAAACTAGCATCTTTCCTTTCATTTTTCACCACCATGTCCAATGAATCTCTCTCTCTCTCTCTCTGTCTCTCTCTCTCTGTGTGTCTCTCTCTCTCTCTCTCTCTCTGTCTCTCTCTCTCTCTCTCTCTCTCTCTGTGTCTCTCTCTCTCAGGGAGTGCTGGTTGTCTGTGGGCGGTCTTTTGGTTTGCTTTAGTATCAGATGACCCTCGCACGCACCGTCAAATCAGCAAAGAGGAGAGAGATTACATCATAAACTCCATCGGACCTCAGGTGAACATTTTTTATTTACCTGTGACATGCAGCTTGGGTTTCTCAATCTTGATCTACTTTTTCTGATCAAAAAAAAGTAAGTAGTATTGATTAGAAATTACATTCTTCCTAACATTCTATCTTTTTGATTGTATGGAATTTTCATTGATATATATGGATTTTTGTTGGCATTTTTCATCATATACGTGTGGGCACTGTGGGCGAACAGTGGGCACGGTTCATTTCATTCACTCAACACTAGTGAAATGCACTGTGAACTACTCTTTTGGTCCCCCCAGCTAGATATTTCAGAGAATATTATAGATCCAAGACGAAACTGACAGAAGGACAGAACTGAGAGACAGAAAAGATGATGTCTGCTACTTCAGCACTATGGACAGCGCCATGGATTTATCATGCTGTATCAATGCGCCTTTAATCGCCTACTGTGTGTAGTGCTTTCTCAAGATTCTGTCATTAATCTGCAGGGTACAGGTCATGGCTGGTCCGTGCCCGTGCTGCCCATGCTGCTGTCGGTCCCTCTGTGGACCATCATCATCACCCAGGTGTGCTCAAACTGGTCCTACTACACCCTGCTCACCTCCCTGCCCACCTACATGAACGACATCATGCACTTTGACATCAAATCGGTGAGGTTTTCGATTTTTTTGTTCCTCAGTTTCGTAGCAAAAATAATAACAGAGAGGTGCGCCCAGATCTCCGCCAGGTGTGTCTGCAACGACTACTGCCGAGTGTGTGATTAAATGAATACGACCCACAACTGGCTAACCCGCCCCCGTCTAGACACCGATGGGCTAACAAACTGTAGATATAGGATGTGTGTACTAATGGATCTCTTAAAGCTGGACACGGACAAGCAACCTGTGATCATCAAATCCTTTTCAGAATAGGACAGCAACTCTGACCAAATCTTTCTGTCTCCGTCCAGAATGGGTTCCTCTCCGCTCTGCCGTACCTCGGTGCCTGGTTGTTCTCGATGCTGTCGGGTGTCGCAGCGGACCACCTCATCGAGAGGAAGGTGTTCAGCATCACCGTCGTACGCAAGCTCTTCACACTCATAGGTAGAAGAAACTCTGCCACTTAGATCCTCTGCGTGTATGCACCCTTATTATCTGATATTGACGAGCTCTTTCTTTGGAACTGAGCGTTTAATTCTTCTTGATGCACTCACCAAATATCAATTATTTGTCACGAGATGTTTTTAGTAGTTTGGCAAGCTAAAAGGCTCATTCAGAGGAGGAGCATGTTGATTGGAGGGAAATTATTACATGTGAAACAGTGCATTCATTACATATGCATATATACAAGTTTGAGCTACTGCCACTTATAATACTTTTGCCATTTTTTGAGACACATTCTTTTTAATCAAGTATTTTTTGAGAGAAATATTGCAGGTTTGGGGTCTACTAGATTTGTCTAATGCAGGGGTGTCCAAACTTCTTTCAAAGAGGGCCAGATTTGATAATGTGAAAATGCCCAAGGGTCAACAGTCCCTGCTGACATTATTTTAAACAATACAAGTAGCCTATACATACATTGTTATTTAATCATTTTATTTTCAATGACAGCAAATAGCAATGTAACCAAATGTAAGCATTCATGTGTGAACACATCTCAACAACTATTCTGCCTTTCTTTCACATCTTGAAAGTCAGATAACACAAAGAACAAGCCATCTAAAAGCTAATTACATAGAAACCGATCAATGTTCTCACCTCAAGACAATCTTAAATATGACTTAGTGAGGGTAATGAAAAGTTGTCTCACATTTAAGTTCAACACACATGAAACAGGCTAACGAAATACATCAAGTTGTCTCTTAGTATCTGATGATAGCTCTTCAGTGTTACGAGCCCGGCAAACATTAGCAAACTCGGTCTTCTTCTCGGGGCAATTATGTTTTCTGCTATTTTCATAACAGTCTTTGATAAACTCACCTTCCGTAAAAGGTTTGTCATGTTTAGCAGTTAGCATGGCCACTTGGTAGCTTACTTTGATGATGTTTTCATGTGAAAAGGACCGCTGCTGTGTGGCCAAGTTATCTTGGAGTTGCTTCACTTTTCTAGCTCGGTCGCTCTGATAGCTTGTTGTAGCATTAGCATGTTTGGTCTCGTAGTGTCTCTTTACATTATATTCCTTAAACAAGGCAACAGTCTCATGACTAATTAGGCAGACACAGTTGTTTCGGTTTTCGGTGAAAACAATATTGCGGTCTCCACCTCTCCTGGAAGCGGCGGCCCTCGTTATCGACTTTCCTTTTTTTACTTGCCGTAACATGACAGGTCAAGGGTCAGAGCCCATTTCAAACAGCCAGACAGTTACAGAGTGGTGCTGCCACCATGAGGTAAAAAGAGGAATTGCATGTTGAATTTGTATGATTTATTCATTCCATTTTGACTGTGCTGGCAGGCCATAAATAATGCATTTTAAGACAGAAGGTTTCGGGCCATCTAAAATCTGACCTCGGGCCGTGATTGGCCCGCGGGCCGGACTTTGGACATGCCTGGTCTAATGGCTCATAGTAAAACTCATCATATTTGGAGTAATTTGACTTTTCGTTGATTTGACCATCTGCCACACTGAAATATTTGTAGCAATAATGTAAACAGAATAATGTAACAATAAGGAATACTTTTTCAGGAAATATTACAAATTATAATCTGATTTACTCCAAATATGAAGGTACTTTTACTCAAGTTAATGTTTAAATGTAGTGTGTGTTTGCTGTAGGAGTATTCTCCCATGATGGTATTGCCACTTGTACTCATAGACTGTATATTAGAAGTGGACGCAGTCACCCATCGGTGTGTGGATTGACATTTTGAGGCCTCGAATTCGGCACTTTGGCCATCACCATCTTGTTTTCTTTCGCAACCAGAAGTGACGCATGATGGTTGAGCTACGGACAACCGAACGTTAAAAAAGATATTTGTCGGCGACCAAAATGTTACAATTAACTTGCATGAAGTGAAAACACACTGTGAATGGGTTAAAGTTCAAAGACGAAAAAACACGGACAACTCCCAGACCGGACAACATTATGGTAGTGACCTGTCAATCACACTAAGCCCGCCCTAAAGCATACCCTGCTTTATGGTCTATTTGACTCTAAATGGACCATAATGTACTAAATGAACATCATGCTGTATTGAAGAAGACTTGAAACTAGAGATTGAGACCATAAACTCATGTTTACAATGTTTACTGAGGTAATAAATCAAGAGAGAAGTAGAGTCATTTTCTCATAGACTTCTATACAACCAGAGGAGTCGCCCCCTGGTGGACACTAGAGAGAAAGCAAGTTTAAGGCTCTTTAGCGTTGGGTTCACTTCACAGACCCAGGGGTTGGCGCCTGCTTTTACATAAGTAAAGTTTTCCACCACAAAATAATCAGCAATACCATGACACGTTACTACATTCACCAAAGGGAATTACGTTTTCACTTGTCCACCACACAGGCAGCAGTGTGGTGGTTTCCATGTCTTGAGTGGAGTAATGCTGCCCTCATCTGGTTTTGATTCAGTATTTAAAAGATGACATAAATTTCCAGATATACACTCAGCGAACAGAGTGGTTTATGTTTTATTCATTGTTACAGCTAAAAACAGTGACACCAGTGATGTTTTCTCAACGCGTGCAGGTATTATCTTCTTCTTTTAACATCCACCTCCTCTCTGCAGGTCTGTTGTCTGCTGCAGCTTTCCTCGTGGCTGTGAGTTACGCCGGCTGCAGCCACATCCTCACCGTCACCTTCCTCACACTCTCTACAACCATAGGAGGGGTCACCGCCTCCGGAGTCTACATGAACCAAATAGACATCGCTCCACGGTGGGTGTTACCTTTGATTTGGATTGATTTGATTTGATCAAGACTCAGATGTATGAATAGATATATGATGATGTAGAAGGGCTTTCAGCTAAATACTGTTGAAAGCAATACTGGAGAAAATGTTTTTCTCTCTCCTGCAGGTATGCAGGACTCCTTCTAGGAATCACCAACACATTCGGGACCATCCCTGGAGTCATGGCACCCATCGTTACAGGATACTTTACTGAGGATGTAAGTCTCATCAAAGTGCTGGTGTAACAGAAGTGTAACTCTGTAAAAGTGCATGATTGGGTAGCAACACATATTTAAGGCTTGAGGCCTTTAATGGACGTTCTTTGGCCGAAGCATTGAATGGCTGATCGTTAATATTTTATATATAGTTTATGTAAAAAAACAACAACATGAAATTAAACTGAAACCCGTGAAACAACGTTTAATCACAAGACTCTAAAATTTAAAGTTGAGTTCATTATGAGGAGGAGGACATTCAATGATCTACAGAATTATAAGGATACCACAAGTAAAGGATCTGAATACTTCCTCCACCACTTTTCTTGGACTTTTTTTTCTACCCAGACCTTCAAACCAGTAAAAATTGATAAAAACAACTCAAAACAAACTTCCTTCATCAATAAAATGAGCTTTTCTCTCCAGAAACCTTGATCTATTGTTCACTTTCTCCTAGCTCTTTAATGTCACACTACACACACAGTACACAACACGCACCGCACATGACGGGTCACTGAAGTAACACACTACCCTCTTCTCTTCCGGTCGTCAGCGCACCCTTGCAGGCTGGAGAAAGGTGTTCTGGGTAGCTGCCGGGATCAACGTCGCCGGTGCTGTCGTCTTCACAATATTCGGCACCGGGAAGATCCAGCCGTGGGCTGTCACCGAGGAGGACGGAGTGGAAGCTGAGAAAGACAGGAGCAGGTCCAACTCCACGTAAAGAGTGAATATTCAGACGAAGACGCCTCTTACTACCTCTTTAAATGGTATAAATCCTAAAAAATATATGCGGTATTCCCACTTATCAAACATGAAGAGTGTGAGGGGTGTACAGACATTATTATCAGCCAAGAATAGCACAACATTTATATCAGTGGACCAGGATAGTTTGATCAAGTTTAAATGTTTGGGATTCTGCAGAGTTTTTAAATCAATAATATTTTGGAAAGTTTATACTCAGGTGAGCATTTGAACTGATTTTTACAATTACAGTAAACAGTAAAAAAAAAAAAAACACTGCTGGATATTCACTGTGTTTATCAATCAGGAATTTATGAATAGTTTGAAAAACTACATTTTGTGTTAGACAAATATTTACATCCTAACCAGTAATACTTTCCATTTACATACAATACAATACATGGACTATACAGCACCTCAGGTTGAAAAACAAATCAATTTGTGTACTTTTTTTGTATGTTTTTTTAACTTGTTCTTGCGCTGTGAACGAGATGGGAGCGTATGTTTTAAGGACCAGCCATAACATACCATATGACTTTGAAAGTGTTATTAACACCTGTTCCTTTAGCTGCTTTGTTTACTGTGTGTCTGTTTCCTGACCACTTCTCGGCTGTTCAGTAGGACCCAAAGAAGCACTTCATACAAAAATACAACAAACAGCCTTATATTTTATAACAGCGCCAATATGTTTGCAAAATAATCTTTCTTGGAGATGTTTTTTGATGATAGATGTTTTTATCATGATAGATGTTTTTATCTTTTGTCTAATCCAGGAAGCCAAACCACCTTCTACTGCCAACAATGCAATATTTTTTTGTAAAAGTGCCATGAACTATGACTTACTTTTTGAGATACTTAATCTCTCACCTTCAACTACAATAATTGTTGTTTTTGTAGAAAACAGGACTCAACCATTTTTCGTCATCTCATGCCGACTGTACTGCGATTGTAAAGATATGATGTTTTTAAACAGATGCAATGATGTGTTTTCCTTTTCTGGGCTTTGGAAATGTGTGAGATTGTACAAAATATGGGAAATATGTTTTAATTTATATTTTATTGTGTGAAGAATCACTTTTACTGAGCAAAATTAAAATCTGTGGCATCTGAGTGGAGTCTCTGTCTGTGTTTCAACATAATATTGAAATGATAGATGTTCCTGTTCTTACTGAACCGATCATGAGGGGATATCATCTTCCTGTGTCCCATCATGACTAAAAATGAACAAAAGTCAGAATTAGATCAGCGATACGATACGCAATGTTTATCTTCGGCCACTAGATGGCACAAGACACTAAATACCAGCAGTGATCTCTGGGCTGTCAAAATGTTAATAAAACCCTTTGAATGACAGTTCTTAATCAAAGCAGCTGTTATAGTTGTTACTTTTTACTACCAGTGTATGTATACTACCAGTGGTGGAAGAAGTATTAACATCCTACACTTAAGTAGTAAAAGTAGCAATACCACAATTAAAAAATACCCCTTCATTCAGAAAGTTACTTGAGTAAAGGTATTACCAAGAAAATGGACATAAAGCATACAAGTTGTGCATTGTGAAGGTGTCCCTTCTGGTAATTGTGAGGCTATTTCTAACTATTTTCAACGTCTTAAAGACTTTCAGTTTTTACTTTTAATACTTTAAGTACATTTTCCTGATTATACTTACATACTTTTACAAATATTTTCAGTGCAGGACATGTACTTGTAGTGATTGTACACTGTGGTATTGTCAGTACTTTTACTTCATCTAAATACTTCACCACATCAACTAGAGCTGAAATACATTGTGTCACAGTTTGCTGATGGGGTGTAGTGTCTCTTTAAACATCCGTGGGTGTAGCTCATGGTTACAACGATGGTGTTGGCGCTTGCATCAGATTTTTTGACGAATGACCCGGATGTTCTTATGACGAAACCGGGTTTTGTGTAACTACAATTGTCTGCCCCCCCCCCCCCGCCCCCGCCCCGCCCCCCCCCCC